TTAAAAAAAAAGGGGACATCCTGGTCCTGGTCTCGATTCCATTCTGTCCCTAGTGAGATCAAGACAACACCGGGACAGGACAGGACACGGGATAAGAAGATAGTGTGTGCGCGTGTGTTTATCAAAGTTAGATTCTAACTAGCTTTCTAATAGTCATCGCCTAGATACTTGAAAGAGACGTTGAGGAATCAACCCGTTGACCCATCATCTATTGACTTGCCTCTTGGTCCCATACTTTCTTGAGAGACTATAGATGTTTGGCTGTCATATGATAGCATCTCAAAGGCTTTGAGCATTTCCTAGCTTGAATCCGTCTGCTTCATTATTGGTGCTTGGATTGGAGTTTTTCCTTCAAGCATTTTCACCACAGATGACATAGAGGGTCTGAGGGTGGGAGATGGATTGGTGCATAAGAGAGCTAAGTTGAGCATTCTCACGGCCCCGTCTTGGGAGTAGTTTGAAGCAAGACGTGGATCTACCAATTCCAAAAGCTTTCCTTGTTCTTGGAGAACATGGGCCTTCAATGGCATGCAAAGATCAATATTGAACCAAAAGCATGAGAAAAGAAAAGGAAACTATATTAACTCTGTCTTTTTGTCTATACAAGTTAAGCTTGGCACGTCATTTCGTTATGAAAATTCTTTTACTACTGATTAGATTTTAAGACTGCCACGGGAGTGAAAGTAAAATGCACCTAAATTCTTGAAGCAGTACTTCACTTATTCGAAACTAAGAGGCATAGAAAATTTTAATTTACCCAATCAAGAAGATAAACATTCTCATTCATTGGTATGTAACTAGCATTGCTTTTTCCGCTAACAATTTCCAAAGCAACAACTCCAAAGCTATAAACATCTGCTTTATCCGTCAAGTGACCTCTCATTGCATATTCAGGAGCCATGTAACCGCTAAAAAAGAAAACATATAGTACCCACTAGTTAGAGATTTTATTCAACAAATAAAAAATATTAAGAATTTCCAAGATCATTCAAATGAGTTTGAGTTTATGCAATAGAAAGACAAGATATCAAAGAGCAACACAACAGTATATGCCGAAGATAAACTTTTAGCTAATGACCAATCACGTCTTAAATTAAAGTCGCATAATACATACATTGTTCCAGCTATTCGAGTGTTAATGTGGGACTCCCCTTCTTCATCAAGTTTTGCTAAGCCAAAGTCAGATATTTTGGCATTCAAATTTTTATCAAGTAAGATGTTTGTTGCCTTAATGTCCCTATGTACTATTTTCAACCTTGACTCTTCATGAAGATAAGCTAATCCCCTAGCTATCCCTTGGCAAATCTTCATTCTTGTGGGCCAGTCCAAGTGTATCCTTTGTTCATCGCAACCTGAAGATCAAGAAAACCCAGAAAAATGAAGATATCTTTTTAAAGTTATACACTGCAATTCAGAAGTAGGTTTTTACTTCTACAAAGTGTCCATGAAGCATTTACCAAAAAGTGCTAGAGCAAGACTATTGTTCTCCATGTATTCATATACAAGGAACAATTGATCTCCTCCTATGCAACAACCATAAAGCTTTACAAGATTTGCATGTTGCAAAGCAGAAATTATTCCTATTTCATTAACAAATTCACGATTTCCTTGCTTTGAGTTGGCAGATAGCTTCTTAATAGCGATGATAACACCATCAGATAACACGCCCTGCCATTTTAGCAACTTAGATAAGTATCATAAGCATAAGTGGCATGCGCTGGTATTCCAGAATCTCATGTTACCTTATACACAGGCCCAAAGCCACCTTCTCCTATCTTATTTGCAGGGTCAAAGTCATTGGTTGCAGTTTTGATTTGTCTTAAAGAAAAATAACATGTCTCGAGATCTAAAAGTTCTGCACCATGGAAGAGGGATATGCGTAAGCAAAAGAAAGAGAAAAGGTAGAGAGAACGCAAAAATTAAGACAACAGAGTTTCAGCCCAGATCCAGTGAACTAAAACCACATTAATAAGTTATCACAAGGTTATCTATTTCAAGATACGTAGTTCATTAATGCATACCCATCCATCTTCTTGACTGCTAGCAAATCTGATCCTTTTATTAGTAAAATCATAATTAAGATAGTTGGAAATAGTATATCTTGAGCTCCTATATTACCTGTGTCCTTTGGATCTTTCCCATTAAGGAAACCCTTCTTTTCGAGGCCAATGAGTACAAGTACAAAGAAGGCACATGATCCAACCACAATTCCAACAATACCTCCAATAGATAGCCCTTTTGAAGGAAGTTTGAAGTCTACAACCAAGATAAAGTGATTAAATTACATTACATCAATGAAGTTCGTAAGAAAAGAAGTTAACAATGTTAGAGGCGCTTACTTGGAGTTACTGTGATGGCAGATATTAGGGGTCCATATACACCTCTAATGGGGATTGTAGTAGTACCTTTCCCTGCCCAGTATAGATGGATCTCCAAGGTGCTATCATTCACATCAACATTGAATTCCCTTGTAATCCCCTTACCAAATCCACCAGCTTCCTTTGCAATATTAAAATCTTTCAAGTATTTAAAACCCTGTGAAAATATGACGTTGAATTTCTACCTTCAAAACTTTTGTTCTCTAGTAGAACCAGATTTGACATGAGATCAAAATGTAAGAAGCAGGTGAACAAATATGATAGAGTATGTTTCTTCAATACTCACTTGAATTGAAACATCGAAAATGCGTGTTCCAAGGCTGCTAAATGTCTGGTCATCAGAATACATTATCTCAGCAAAATGGAGCTTTACCTTATAATTACCCCTCATCATACATAGGCCATAGTACTTGAGGGATTGAGGGCTAAGGCGGGCTGTTTTGTAGTATTCTGAGCCATCAACATTCAAAGAAAACTCATTTGTTTCTAGGCTGGCTAAATAATTAGCATGATCGTTATACATATATATTCCTGTGTTGCTATAGGCCCATTTTTCTTGTTCATAGAAGTATGAAATGCCATTTTGATTGAGATCTTCTTCGTATTCATTCCCCTCAAACTCCATCTTTGGTCCTCCACAGTTTATAAACAATGAATAATCTGTATAATTAAAATACTATGATATGTTAAGTAAGAGAGATTATCATAGCTTTGCTTAATAAAATTTTTGTGGTGCATGAAAACATTACTGATGCAGAAAGTCTCAACTCACACTCAGGTTTTCCTGGACAAGGTAGGCCCTTCTTCAGACAAAAGGTTCTACACGATGAGTAGTTTATTTCAATAGATTATTTGGATATATATATATGTGCGTATATACATATATATAACAAACTAATTCCAAAAGAAGTATGCCATAAGCAAGAACTTACACATTTCTTCCTGAAGATGAAAGACTGGAAGCTAAGTTCCTGTCCATCAATAATAGGAAAGCAGTCAGTAACAAGCATTAAAATAGGTCAATTTGAAATTATCATGTAACTGAACAACAAAGAAAACCTTACACTTGTGAATTCTGGCAACTAGATGTAGAAGCCTCAGCAAAGTCGTTGTAAGATAAATCACTGAAAGAAAAATATTATTAAAAGTTTAGTATCTTCATTAAAGTGGGACATTGTAATTCTATGTAAAAGGTGACTCTAGACTTTTCAAATAGAGAAATATTAAGAGAATAAGCTGACATATTATCTTTGTTGCTCAGCACCCATTCAGGAATTGCTCCACTTAGAGAATTGTTTGTCAGAAACCTGCACCGATAATTAATATTAGTCTCGGTGATGATTCTAAAAAATTAAAATCAACGAAGACGAAACAATAAACTTTTATGACTTCGCTATTCACAAAATATCCACTTTATTTTCTTTCACACTTCTTACAAACAAATGCAAAGATTTGCTTACATGTCATCAAAATCCAAGCCCTGAAGTGAGTCAGGGATTAAACCAGTCAACCTATTAAAGCTCAGGTCTCTGCAAGAAGTAGTTAAGACACAAATCAATATATATTGACAAATAGTCAAATAACCAGCATGAGAAACCTAGAGTACAATAATTGTAGTGTAGGAAGTGGTGAGAGAAAGCCTTACATGCAGCCATAAAGTACAAAAGAAAACAAAATGTCAAATTTTTAACCAATAAAATACACACACGAAGTAACTTACAAAGTTCTCAAGTTTTTCATTTCGCCAATGTACTTTGGAATGTCACCAGTAATTAAGCAGTTCCTCAATATCCTGAAGTCATAGAATTGAGGAGGCTATAAGCCATTCATATGAAACCAGAATGAATGATATAACTGTTAGTATAACAGTTGAAATGCTTTCAACTCACAGTCGTTCCAAATTCTTCATATTCTTCAAATTAGGAAATGTCATAGTTGTTGTTCCTTTCAAGTCAGATATTCTCCTGATATCAAAATGTCTCATCAATAATAAGAAAATTATTTTTTGTTGAAGATTAAATTCTCAAACAACATGACAGTGTAAATGCATAAAAGGAAAAAAAATAAGCACTCACAATTCTTTCAAATTTGTCAACAATGATATAGTGGGAGGAATTGGGCCTTCCATGCCTGTGCCCTGCATATCCCTAGCAAAAACATAAAATTCTTTTAGGAAATTTAAAAGAAAGTTATTACAGCATAAACTTAGTTTTGTCTCTATTGAGAAGAAACATGTAAATTTTAATTATACTCACAGAGAACTAATTTTGGTCCAATTCGCAATAAAACTTGGTATCTTCCCTGATAAGTTGTTCCCATCCATCAAACTACCGGAAAGTTATTAGGAGTTATCTCAGTAGAGGACAAAGGCCAATCCAGATATAAAAACAAAATAAACAAAACAGTCTTATCATGTGATATCACTCACAGAAGTGCTAGGTTCTTCAGATTCCCAAAAGTTTCTGGAATTGTCCCGGTAAAATTATTTCCAGAAAGAAATCTGCAGTTTCATACAAACATTCCAGTTTCCGAAAAGTAGAATGAAATGAAATCGATCAACAAGTTCCTGAATTGAGGAAAAAGCCAGAAACGAAAATTGCTACTAGAAGAACAGAGGCCAACTTACACTCTCTGTAAGGCAGTCAGATTTCCAAAACTCTGAGGAAGAGTTCCCGCAAGCTGAGTATCTTCTAAACCCCTATAACCATTTATATATATTTATTCAACTCCAGTATTAGCCATTGTGTTTCTTCAGTCTCAAAATGAGATTGGCTTAGAGTACTCCAAAACTTACAGGTTCTCCAGACTTGTAATTTCACCAAATTCTTCAGGAATTGAACCACTAATGCGATTCCCAGAAAGGGACCTAAAGAAAATTTACATGAATGATTCCAATATGGAAAACAATGTACTCTAGTATTTGCGTTTGCATAATCCTTGTTTTTAGTTGTTTGCATATAGCGCTAAAACTTACAAAGTAACAAGAGGAATGCGAGCAAAAAACGTTGGAATTGTGCCCTTGAGATAGTTGTGAGTGAGATCACTGCTCAAATAAAGCAAGTATTTGTTAGTATTTGGGCTGATTCTGATACATTTCCACAATGATTATGAATGCAAATAAGCAATATAAAAGAAATAAAAATGGGAAAACCACTTACAGTAGAGTCAATTGGGTGAGATTTCCAAATTCACTGGGTATTTCTCCAGCAATATTCTGGCCTGTCAACCGACTACCAAGTACCAATGATAATTACATTGTGTCACTTTCACTAATCCTTTAAGAATGTATTGTTCAGAAAAATGAGTCAATTTGTTAGAATTATCCAGACTAATTACATTGTACGTATCAATAATCATTTTAAAAAGTTGAACTTGAAAGGACAAGGTTGCGCGAATAACATACGACTATTTAGTTACAGAAGACGTACATGCTAGTGACATGGCAAACAGTGCTGTTTTGGAAAGTGCAATCACAAGTGACATTTCTTACTGCAATGGGGGATGTGTTTGAATTACGAAATCCTTCTCCACTCTTACAAGATGTTTGTGTGACCTTCCAATTCACGTTTGTGAGCTTATCAGAAATTGCCTGCAGAGCCTTCACTGTATCACAACACACACACACACACACACATCAATTTGAAGAATCTCCGAATCCTGATGGATCAAGAAAAGCAATCAAAACCCAGATACAGTAAAGGGATGAAAGTTCATAATCTGAGGTGCAAGTACATGTAAAAAACAAGGGAAAGTTATGCAAAAGTTCCAATCTTTTTGGGAAATAACTTGCACTATTAAACAGGCTTTTTCAAATCATTCTCAATTTTTGTCTTCTTTTGGTGCGCTATGTATACCGATACGAGTGATAAAGAGCAGAAGATCGAACATACAACACAATGGTCCTCAAGGAGGGGGGGGGGAGATATGATGACAAAACTGGAATGAAAAACAGATAGAAGAGATTAATGCAAAAAAGGCACCTTCATTTTGGGGAATAAGTTGAGCGTTTGACGGAAAACCACTGAAGAAACTGAGAAGCAGAAATCCCAACAAGAAGAAAGCAGAGGCGGGTTTGGAGCTTAACGTCGCAAACTCCATTAATTAGGAAATATAAGTAACAGGCGTCGAAAATGCAGAAACAGGGGCCCAATGGGAATTAGAGTTATTGGAGGGAATGAAAACAAGTTTCAGAGTTCATGAGATCAATAGAAACATTGGGATTTTATAGTAAGAAGAGAGTGAATACCGCTTGTTGTTACGACACGTACCATCAATAATATCTTGAATGATTTATTCTTATAACCGAGTAATTTCCAAAGGGGATATTATTGCAGTTCTAGAAATATATTTAATTGAAAAAAATCATTTAAAAACAAAGTTAATAATTGGGAAAATTACGGACAGACTCATAGAAGAGATTTTGTTCATTTAAGGTCTCACAAAATGTCAAAATTATTGACAAGTCTCAAAGGACCTTAGAGTAATATATTCTATTTGTAAAATGACGTTACTGTCCCTCACATTCCAAATTTACATTTGCTCTATCATTGCGATTTACAACCTCAGCAGCGACTATTAACAACCCAATGAGAAGATGTTAACAACCTAAGCAGTATGCGTTAACAATTTACTTTATAGGATCACATAACCTCTACATAAGAGTAAATTATAACCAAATAGTATAAGACAACAACTTTAACACTAAAATGAGAAGCTTTTTGAAATCATTAAGAATTTTAACTAAACCCAATAGGATTATAGCAAAATTTTAATTTAGAGATCCATTGACAACCTCAACAGTGAGTATTCATAACCTAGGAAGAACTGTTAACAACCTTAGCAGTGTCAGTTAACAACTAACTTTATAGGATTATATAACCTCTAACTATAACTAACTAAATTATAACTAAATAGTGTTAAAGTTAATCTTATATAGTTGTTAGAAGTTATATTATCCTATAAAGTCAGTTGTTAACAGACACTGCCTAGATTGTCAACAGCTCTCCTTGGATTATTAATACTTACCGTTAAAGTTGTCAATGAATCTCAGCATTAAAATTTTACTATAATCCTAGTAGATTAAGTTAAAGTTCTTAATGCTTCAAAAAGCTTACCATTTTAGTATTAAAGTTGTTGTATTATACTATTTGATTATAATTTACTCTTATGTGGAGGTTATGTAATCCTATAAAGTAAGTTTGTTAACAGATACTGCTTAGGTTGTTAACATCTTCTCATTGGGTTGTTAACAGTCGCTGCTGAGGTTATAAATTGCAATGACAGAGCAAATGTGAACTTGGAATATAAGGGGCAGTAATGTCATTTTACAAATAGAATATATTACTTTAAGGTCCCTTGGGACCTGTTAGTAATTTTGACATTTTGTGGGATCTTAGGTAAATAAAATCTCGTGAGACTTGTGTGTAATTTTTCCTTAATAATTTGACTATCTCTTCTTAATTTCAATAAGATAAGGCACATAAAGTTAAGTAATGAAAGACCAAAGAAATACTTCTAATTGAAACCATATCACATCCCCCTATTTGAATCAACTCCACGCGAAACACTACCTTACCTTCCTCTGCGTACTCAACAACTAGGGTCATCTCCCTCTCTCTTCTCGTTGCTTCCTGTTATTATTATTTTCAGTTTTTAATATAAGAATTAGTTTAACAAATAACTAATATAATTAATTTTTTTAATATACTCAAATTAATTAACTAGTTTTTATATTAAAAATTTTATTTTATTATAAGAATAATTTATTAAAAAAGCCTGAGCCGCCCATGTGGCATGTGTCTACGAGGAATAAGGTCAACATAAAATAAGAGGTCAACCTAGAATAAAAGTACGACTCTCATAAGAAATTATACAAGTCTTCTCAATTATTTTCTTGTCATGCATGAAACGAACTAAAAAATGAGCCTACTTGTAATGGGAATGAAATGAAATTATAATACTCTAATGTGAAAACGTTGACAAGGAGACTCTCTCGCTGGAGCTGTCATCACCAGCTAGTGAGGTTTCAACCTCTAGGGACTAGATGTCATAAAAAAACACCTTCAATGATCACTTAATTTAGCTTTTGTCGGCCAAAATAATAATAATAATAATTTCGCGTTTACCTTCTTTGAATTGTTTCAATCTCCGTTGAATCATACACACACAAACCCGCAACTCTTTTAAATTTTGATTTATGCACAAATAATATTTTAGAGCTTTATTGATAATTATCTACGGTCAATTATTTCCTTATCATAACATATTACTCACTAAATACCAATTGAATGAACTTTAATTTATTATGTAAATAACATATTATTCACTATATATTAAAGAAATTAGTTAAATTAGTTATTTGTAATAAATAGGTATTGTTTTTTAAAAAACATCCTTACTAATCAAGTGTATTATCACAAAGAGTATCTTAAAAAAAAAGATAAATATGAGGAATAAAATAAACTGAGATCTTATATTTACGATCAAAATAAAAGTCAAATTAACTTTTATATTAAATATCAGAAGTAGTAAATGGATAATATCTTGTCAATTTTTTTTAATTTGATGTTGCTCAAATTCAAAGGGCCTATAACCCTACATGCACAGACTTGCTGGATAAGAACAAGTAATCTCATGCTCTTGAGACAGCACTAATATAATCTAGGAAAAATTACAAAAAAAATTTAGAATTGTAAAAACGCAGATAGGGACCCTTAACAACTTTATTTTAGGTTTTGACAACTTTATAACATATTATTATTAATCCAAAGTGAAGTTGTTAAAGGTCCCTATCTGCGTTTTTGCAATTCTAAAGTTTTTTTTTTATAATTTTCCCTATAATCTATGCATATCTACCATAAAAATTACAAGTTGCCTTTCTTTTTTTTTTTAACCTCAGAAAATTACAAGTTGCCATGTGATACTAAATTTATAAACAACTGGGGTTGCTTTAATTCACAAACTGAACTTCAGAGACTATGCGTTTTCCATTTCAATTTTATCCGCCCTTCTCCCTCTTTTTGAAGTCCGACCAGAATTCTTCTCCGTTTTCTTCTGTCACTCCACGAGCTGAATCTTGCAGGAAAAGTACATTCAAAGTTGAAAACTTTTCCTTTCTTCCTTTTTTGGTTAAAAAACCCAAAAACAAAACAAAAACACAAGGACTAGCTACATGGCAAATGCGTACATTACATATTCTTCCAGTTTTAAATATAAAACTCATTTTATGATACAAATTGTACTTTTTCTATTCTTAATATAGGACTCAATTCTTGAGTTGATTTTTATCCTAAATATAAGACCCATTTATCATATTTATCAATTTTCTCTAAATTATCCCTATGAATACTCCCTCAACCATAATTAAGTAGAAGAGAGAGAGATGTGGTATTAAGAAAGATAATTATGGCGTTTTAGGAAAAATGTGTCACTTTTCTTATAATTAACTAACTTATCTAATTTCTTTAATTTAATCAAATTAGTTAAATGGCTCTTATCTTAAGGACCGGAGGAGTATTACAAAATGACTTTTATATTTAGGACTATAAAAGTATTTCTGCTTCATCTTATCACGCCCACACATATAAAAGACACTTTTAACTAACCTACCAAAACTAGGATAAATTAATTAAGAGCTTGTTTAGGATAGTGTTTAAAGGTACTTATAAACATGTTTTATGAACTCCGTTCACATACTTACTTCATATTTTATAAATCACAATTAAAAAGTTACTTATAAACAAATCCAAACGGGTCTTAGAACAATAAAAAGTGTCTTGTTTTTCCATTCTTATCCCCAAGTAAACACTATATTTAAAATACATGTATAGTACATTGGAATGGAGTTAGAAGAACATTAACGAAATAATACATTAAAAACTAAATGAGACATGACTTGTATATTAAGGTCTATAGCTTCCTTTAAGGATGTGTCCAATAGATAGGGCAGGAGGGAGAGAATATAACTGAATAGAGATGAATTAAAAGCAAGTGGTGGTATAATATCAGATTAGCAGTGAAATAATCTTACTATCGATGCATATACATTATCTGAAGCATATATATATATATATACACACGCGCGTGCGCGCCTTTTTCTTCTTTTTTCTCAAAAAGGCAGGCAAAGTGGAAGCCTTTGGGGATCTCTCTCTATATATATGTGTGTGTGTGAGCGCGCGCGCGCGCATTAAGATGAGTTTGGCTCAGTTCTTCATCCCTTAGCTTTATCATTTCTGCAGCCACTGTAGTAGACGATGAATGTATATATGTAAATACAATTTGGACTAGTAGATCGCTTGAGAAGCAAAAATGGGTGAGAATAGACTTGTTGATATTCGGGTGGGACCAAGCGAAAGAGATATGGATGATTTCAGCTTTCGAGAACTATAAACAAGTGGAAGCTTGAGACCAGATCCAGCCCAAGCAACACGGATGGCGCCCTATTTTTAACATCCTGGCTTTTTTTGGGCTCCGGCTTCTTAAGTGGGCCTGGGTTTTGATGATCAGATTGCAAGGTCTTAGCATCTTTTTCTAAGCGGTGAGCAGGTATATTTTTTTAATTAGAGACAATTTTGTCCGCAGTATTATCAGGTACTAAAGATTGGTAATAAATGCGGCCTGAGTTTTGATGATTGGATTGCAAAATCTTAACATTTTTTTTCTAAGTATGTGTATTTTTTTTATCAGAGATAATCTTGTTTAAGGTACCATTAGATACTAAATGTATACATTTCTTCCAGTAAAAATTTAAACCTTAATTTGCTGTATTATGATAAACTAGCCTCTTTTACTACACCAACCCCCATTAGTAAAGTCTTAACATTAATTTGAGACAAAATAGCCAATGGGGATTGGGTCTAATAAAAGAAACATGTGGTGAACCATGATTTAAACCCTTGCTGGAAGAGGTGCCTAATTTAGTATCCAACGTCGTCTCAAAAATGATTATCTTCGAGGATTTATATACTTAGGGGAAAAAAAATTAAGACAGAATGACACGTGACGATAATACTCCCTCGGCATCTCCCATTCACATGAACTACAAGTCAATGAGAGTAAACACTTGCTTTGCTATTGTGAATTTTGGCACACAGTGTGAGGCTTCATAGTTTTTCACTTTCTCTTCATTTATTTTCCCTTCGACTGATTAATCCTTACACTAACAGGGTATTTACTCTTGGAACTACTGCAAATCTCTAATTCTTTATTTAAATTATCTTATTGTTCTCAATGTCAGAGGTTTATGCCTTTGTTTCCTTTCTTTTTTGGTTATTTAGGAAAAATATCAGGGACGATAAGAACAGAGAAGATGAGCTTTATGCTAAAAGTAGGATTTTGGGTTATAGTAGCTCATGTGATTGATTTTTGTCATCTATAATTTGAATAAAAAACATTACCGATAAATGGAATTATAGGTCCAAAAAATGGGGGTGGATTAAGAATTCCCATATTATTAACAATGTTGTTGCATCAATGATTAATGAGTTTCATCTCTTCATTTCCCTTTGTCAAGGATTGCTTCAATCCAAAAGTTTATGTTGTTCAGTGAATGCTCAATTTTAGTTTTACTTTTACCTCTAACAGTTGATCGTTTTTACTTGTTAGATATTTAACTGGAAACCTTCTCTCTGGACCAGTGCCTGAGTGGGTAGATCGTTCTGGCTTTGTGTAAGTTTACTTCCAATGATACTTACATGATTGCTTGAATTAATTAGTTCAAATTTTGCACATAATGTGAGTGATGAACAGGCCACAGAAAATGGGTCAACGATCCTGTTAACTCATTAGCCCATAATAAATCTATGCTCTGCTCAACCCATTGGCCTATTATCCCATAATAAATCCACGTGATTCTTCCCAAGAACCAGGGTATTCCATCAAGTTCTACTCTGAGCTTTTTCATCTGAGAAAATGAATTTTATAAAACTATATTCGATTGAATAGTCTTGATTCTGCCTCTTCTGCCTCGTTACATGGTTCCTACGTGGATAGTGTCTAGCAGAAGGCCTGGGGTTCACTTTATTCATGTGGGGTGACGAAGGCTGCCTTCTCATTTTGAAATATCTTTCTCATTATTATGTTTTGAATATACTTGTGTACCTATTTGTTGAATGCTTCAGTAGGAGACTAGCACTTCACCTTCACCTACTTTAACACCAAGGAAATTGTTTTCAAAATACTCTTATTAAGAAGCTTAACTGTAAATTTATCAATTAGACTAGATAGGAAAGATGCTTTTGTATATTAATTTTAATATTTTACTTGTGATCCAGCATGTGTTTCAGAGACTAGATTCTGAATTACGTTTTATACATTGTACATAGAGATCTTTCCTACAACAACTTCAGCGTCGGAAACCCAGGGCAGCCAACATGTAAAACGGGCAATGTGTAAGAATCCTTGAATTTCTATGAATTTATTTGTATTCGAAAGAAGCCATCTGACCGTGATCATCTCTTCTATGACTTAGGAACCTGTTTTCAAGCACTTTGACAGGGAATGACTCGTAAGTCGTATGTTACATGCACTTGATTTAGTAATTTGGGAAAATGACACCTAACAATCCAAATCCTAAGTTTACGAAATTTATTCCCAAGGTCTTAAAAACCAAAATCACCCCAAAAGGATCATAAGAATAAGCTACCGCCAGTACTGCCAAAACAACCTAGCGTTTCTGATGTTTCAAGGATGCTTTCACCTAAAGATGGTAACATGTCCAAAAACACTCTTGTAATATCAGAAAGATTAGGCTGCAATGCTAGAAAGCTTGAATAATAATCTTGGGAAGCAATAGTGGCAATCTATTCTTATAAACCTCTGGGAGCTCAATTTTATTATTTTTGGGTACTCAGGTGTCGTTTTCCCTGATATATATTTGCTTGAGCATATATTTGGTGAATATATGGCTTATTCAGCCCGTGTGATTTTCTCTCAGGGGAGCAGTTCCATGTTTGAGCGGCTTTCGCTGTCCTAAAAGTAAGTTGACGTGTCATGTATTTCCTGTAGCCTTGACATATCGATATTATTTTACAGTTAGAACCGTTCTCCACCTTCCTCCCATCTTATAAGGAAGAAGAGAAAAGTATTTTCCAAGACGGCTACACTAGTACATCAAGAGTTTTATTCTTGCGAGTTCCCTGCCGAGCTTGATTCCTTGAGATAATAGTGTTTTCTGATGTTTTTCGTCTTATCCCAGCATGGTACTCTCTACATATAAACTGTGGTGGCCAGCAATTAACAGTAAACGAAAGTACAATATTTGAAGAAGATTCAGATGGATCAGGATCAGCAAGATTTCACCGGAGTGACACAAATTGGATAATGAGCAGTACTGGTTACTTCATGGATAAAGAACGCGTAGATTACTACACCGTGCGGAATGCATCAGCACTCTCTATAACCAATGCTGAATTATACATGAGTGCACGTGTTTCTCCGCTCTCTCTGAGTTATTTTGCATTTTGCATGGGAAACGGAAACTACACAATAAAGCTCCATTTTGCTGAGATAATGTTCACAGCCGATAAAACATATAGCAGCCTCGGAAGGCGCGTCTTTGACGTCTATATTCAGGTGCACGTCTATTTATTTTCTCTTCATTTTGTCAAGTAAATGTTTGATACAGAACAAAGGCCTTTGGCCAAGTGGAAACTGGGTTCCTTGGGAACATTATCGAGCCAGATTTAGGGCATTTAGGATAGGTTCTGATAAAATTATGTTTTGTCATGTTCATAGTATTCTTGACAATGATACAATATTTCCAGAATTGTCATCACTCAAAAGCTTGGCACTTTATCTCATGAATAATTAACTGTGATGAAATTCACATCATAGTACCATACAATAATTTTAAACTTCTAGTCACAGGAACAAATTGGGCTTGAAATGATATTTTACAGGGAAAGCTGGTGCTGAAGGATTTCAATATTGCAGAAGAAGCAGGAGGAGTTGGTAAGGCAGTCGTCAAAGAATTCACTGGTGTTGTGACTAGGAATTCATTGGAGATCCGCCTATATTGGGCTGGGAAAGGGACAACTGCTATACCATACAAATCACTATATGGTCCGCTCATATCTGCCATATCTGTGGATCCTGGTGTGTTGAACTTCTTTGCAGGCATTACATGTTACTGCCATCATAGCGATGTTTCCATCTAATTATTTGAAACTCTCTGGCTTATAAATCTAGCAGACTTTAAACCCCCATTGGAAAATGGAAGTAGCATATCTGGAGGGACAGTGGCTGGCATTGTGGTTGCTGGAGCAATGATTGTAATCCTGGTTTTCAGTATACTATGGCGGAGAGGCAGTCTAGCACCCAAAAATTCAATGGCAAGAGGTAATAAGCATAAAGCTAATCAATGTTGTTCTCAATTATCATGATTACCAATTATTTCTCCGAATCACTCAGGAACTCTCATGGACAAATATGTATATTGCATGCATGTAGCTTTCATGTAAGTTTATAAACTGTATTTAGATATTTAGTCATCTGATTTCTGGTGTTAGTTTAGAATCTTGTTAACTCTGATAAAAGAGCATAACAGCTTTTTTTTGTTTGCTTATACTGACAGAGCTAAGGAGTTTAGATCTGCAAACTGGAATATTTACTTTAAGGCAAATTAAAGCAGCAACAAACAACTTTGACGTTGCCAATAAGATTGGAGAAGGAGGATTTGGTCCTGTCTACAAGGTATTTCTCCCAGGACACAACCTTTTATTGCTTGCTAAACATTATCTGCTGACTTCAGAGCTTTACATGCATCATTCCTCAAAATGCAGGGCTTTCTGTCAGATGGTACTATAATAGCAGTTAAGCAACTTTCGTCTAAATCAAAGCAAGGAAATCGGGAGTTTATAAATGAGATAGGCATGATTTCTGCTATGCAACATCCTTGTCTTGTCAAACTTTATGGCTGTTGTGTCGAGAGAGATCAATTGTTGCTGGTATATGAATACATGGATAACAATAGTCTTGCTCGTGCCTTGTTTGGTAATTATTACCTATTTGTTCAACTTAGGTTGTTGTGTTTGAAACAATCTCCAATATGATTATAGTAACATGTGTATTTGACTGTAATTATTATGACTGTCATTTCCATAAATGAAGGCCAAGAAGGTCAATTACATTTAGACTGGCCGACAAGATACAAGATTTGCATTGGTATTGCTAGAGGTTTGGCTTTCCTACATGAAGAGTCAAGATTGAAGATCGTTCATAGAGACATTAAAGCCACCAATGTGCTGCTTGATAAAGATCTCAATCCAAAGATATCTGATTTTGGTTTGGCCAAACTTTATGAGGAGGACAATACCCATGTCAGCACTAGAATAGCTGGGACATAGTGAGCTTCTATGCTTATTTTCTTCTAGTTTCGTTGATAAATATTTTTACACATTTTGAGTTGGCTGCTAAGAAATTGACAACTGGAATTTCTAAAATCAATGTGATCGGCTGTGTTTTCAATTTCAGTGGATATATGGCTCCTGAATATGCAATGCATGGCCATCTAAGTGACAAAGCAGATGTCTATAGTTTTGGTATTGTTGCATTGGAGCTTGTTAGTGGGAAGAGCAACAACATGAACCATAGCATCCATCTTCTTGAGTGGGTAAATATTCATAGGATATTTTGCATTCATGCCAGCTATATTTTCCTTGAGATTATGTTTAATATCCTCTTTGCTTAAGAATACATGAACAGACTGCTTCCATATCAAATTTCTATACACACCATTTCTCTGTATGGAAACTGTTTATTTGTCTTCAAGGATAAACCAACTTCATAATTTTTTTTTCCCTAGGCACATTTCTTAAAGGAAAACTACAATCTAATGGAGATAGTTGATCCAAGGTTGAAATCGAAGTTTATAAAAGCAGAGGCTATGGTGATGATCAATGTAGCTTTTCTATGCACAAATGTGACTGCATCACTTAGGCCCAACATGTCCTCAGTGGTAAGCATGCTTGAAGAACGAACAGTTCGGGAGGTGGTTTCAGATGGAAGTGAGGCATTGGATGAGATGAAGAGGCGGAAGTATTACCAAAATATAGGGGAAAATAGCATATCAGTCGGGTCATCATCTATTGATTCACCTACATCAGTTACAGATCTCTATCCTGTTCACTTGGATTCCTCTTACTGGATGAAAAGAAATTAGCATATATGTAATTTTTCGTCTTTGAATGATTCTCCTTGTAGCATTATGTGTTGCAGTACAAGTACTAATTTGACTATGTAATTCTTGGTCTTTAAAGGATCCTTCTTGCCCTTGGGTCGCTGAAAAACTAGCATTTTGCAAGTTGGTTCCAGTAAAATACTGTATTTTCAACCACCGTAGAAATTGGCAGGGATGCAACCACATCATGTTAAAACCTGACTTGATAATTTTTAATTAATTCTAATGTGCCATTATAATCCTTCAATCAGCATCCTAAGCACATGTTTTTAATGTTTTACGCTATGCTTTCACGTGCTTGATTTCATATTAAAAATCATTGAATGTGAAGACTATATTTCTCTACACAAATAATAATATCATTTGCCAAAAATATAAAGGAAATGGAAGAGGGTCATTCTCACATAATATATAGATTATGATACATTCTTAATTTGTGAATTTTTTTAATATTGAAACTTATACTTCTTCTTATCTTTTTATAAGATTCAAATTTTTGAATTCATTTTTTTTATAAGATTCAGTTTAGAGTTATTTGAACATTAAATATATTTTTACTAATTTTATTTCTATTTAATTGCATTATCTTTTTTCTTTTTTCATATATTACTTGAAAGTTCAACCTTATGTTTCTGAATAAGTCTTTATTTAATAAGTGAACATATAAGAGATCGAATATGGTATTAAAAAAATGATGAAAGAGAACAGAAAATTAATTAGAAGCAAAATTGGTAAAAATACATAATAATGATATTAAAAAAATATTTTTAGTTATTTAATGTTAAAATTTTTAACAAAAAAATAATAATATTAAGATATTTAATGTTGATAAAATATTTTTAAATTCTAAAATATTAAATTTAATTTTCAAAACAATTATGTGATCGTTACAAACACAATTATCTGTTAATACTAATGATTTTAAAATTAAAAGGCTAAAAATATAGTTATTAAAAGCTAAGGAAGCAAAACTAAAAAACTAAAATACCAAGTGGATACTTTTACCTAATTCGTGATTATAAACTTTACTTTTTAATAAGATTTTAAGATTTACAAATTTTCTTATAATTTACAATTTATTTGCAGGTAACTTTTAACTCACATCATTAAACTTCTGGGATTTACAATTTGCTCGAATAATTTACACAAAATTTAAAACTATTTTGTGATTGATCTTTTAATTTTTACAACTAAGTTCTAATATTTATTATTAATCTAGAAATTGATCACTGTGCAAGGATTTTTTTTTTAAAATTTAAATTCCCATGGCCTTCTAGTGTCATTTTCATTTTCCTTGCCCTTTCGGGTCAATGCCCACTCCCCGCAAGACGCGCCAGCAAGCCAAGGGCAGTGAATGGATGGCGTGATGGAGGGCGAAAGACGAAGACAAATGCAGAGTCTTGTTGTATATTCAAAGACGCGTGATTTCCACTTAAAAATCATATTAATCTTTAGAAGCTTGGCTTTTTCTGCATTCTCCAGATACGCAATTTCGGACAAGCATGGCCATGAACCTCATTCTGCTGCCATTTTTCTTCGCAAGGATGGCTTTAGGCTCTCTTGTTCCAGAAGAAGGTACTCACATATCGCGCTTTTACTCCCTCTTTGCTTTTCAGCTCGTTCTGCAAACCATATTTTCACCGTCGTCGCATCGTGAGAGAGATTATTTAACCCCCCCCCCCCGGTGTGTGCGCGCGCGCGCGCGCGTATAGTGGAAGCTTTGAGAGACATAGGGAGGACGCTGGGGAAGAAGGACTGGAACTTCAGCGGCGATCCATGCAGCAGAGGACTCAGTGGATGGAACGTCGACTGTTCGGTGGGAAATACCGGCGGCCACATCATTAGCATGTATGTAACCTGCACTTCTAGCCTCTCTGCGGCTGCCGCAGGCTGCGGCGGCGAGAGAAAATGATTGCTAGGTGGGGCCCACTCACCCCGCCTCCTCAGTCCTTCTCTTACCTCGTAACTCGTTGCTGGCAGCTGCTGCAGAGGTTCAAAACCCCTATCGAGTATCGTATTTCTTAGGTGTGTTTGGTGACAATACATAAATTTTAGGAGTTTTTCTCCCCAACTTCCTCTTTAAAATTGGAATGATTTGGAAGGGAAAGGTAATATTTTGTCATGTTATAACCGTTATGTCTATATTTTATCATGTTATAACCGTTATGTCTATATTTTATCATGTTATGACTATTATGTTCATATTTTGTCATGTGGTGACTATTATATCTATATCTTAAATAAAATAAGAACAAAATTATCCATATTAAAATATTTTTTCCTTCCCTCCTCCTTTTTTTTATAAATCCAAACAAGATAATATTAAAATCTTTCCATTCTCCTTCCTTCCCCTTCGTTCTATTAAAATCCCTCTCCTTCTCTTTCCCTTCCTCTCATTAACCAAAACATACCCTTAACGAATTTAGCACTACCATATTATGAGTATCTATTAATTTAAATTTAAATGTAAATCAAATTGGACCCCGGAAAGGAAACGCGTCTTGGTTAAATTCAATTAAATAATTCATTCAAAAAAAAAAAACTCAATTAAATATTCCGCAGGAGCCCTCTGGACCTTTTTTTTTTTTTTAACAATATTTAGCACGAGTGCAACTTCACTGACATGATAATCAAAATGGACCAATCTTGCCGCTTAGCTAACAAGAAGAAAACGGAAGTTTTCTCCCTTCTCTCTCCATCTGAGCCAACCTGATTGATGGCTTCCTCCTCGCCTTCCCTCTCCCTCTTTCCCTCACTACAAAATATTTTAGGTACCTAAAAAAAAAATTTCAGGTGAAAATGCACCTTAACCCAAAATTTTAAATTACCTTGTTCAGCAAGCTAGCCTATAAACTTATCAAAATTTAATTGAACATGCAGCAATCTACGAGAAGGGAGTCTTCAAGGAACTCTACCGCCGGAGCTAGTTAGGTTGCCGTACCTTCAAGACCTGTAGGGAATTCCGTTCAACATTGTTGATTATCAGCTCACGACGAATTTTTAATCTGGTTCGCTTCTCTTCTCTAACGGTTGTTCCTCTCTACAGGGACCTTACACGCAATTACCTCAGCGGCATAATCCCTCCAGAATGGGGCTCTATGAAACTTGTTAAAATGTACTCTGTGTGTCATTTGAAGCCAATATTTAATTCATAGCATGACACTTGAATCATGGATGTAACGTAGCTTCATTATAATCATATGTTATGGCAGCATCCTCCTCGCCAACCGTTTAACGGGTTCAATCCCAGCAGAGCTGGCAAACATTTCCACTCTCGAGATTTTGTGAGTTTCTGTTCACTTGTTTCTTTGGCAACCTATCCCGTTTCAAATCTGATGATTATTTAGAGATTTTAAACTTAAATGCATAGAAACATTGGTTTCAATCAATTTTCGGGAAATCTTCCTACTGAGCTTGGGAAACTACCTCGGCTTCAAAGACTGTAAGGGATACATTCAAGTTTACACACATGCATGTTGATTTAAATTTTGTTTCTTTATTTGGTTATATTACTATTTTTGGTTACGCTAGGCATCTTGCTTCAAACAATTTTACTGGGCAAATACCTGCAACATTCGCTGGGCTAACCAACTTGACTCACTTGTAAGCTGTGGCATTTAAAAGTACTACTACTATTGTAACTCGGAAATTAATAGTAAATGTTGTCTTTTCTCCAATGTGATGCAGTCGAATCAGTGACAACAAATTCTCCGGAAAGATACCCGATTTCATTGGGAACTGGAAGACTCTCCGCATGCTGTGGGCCTTTTTACTCTACGGTTTTCTGTTCTTTTGATTGTCAAATTATGCATTTACATTTGTTTAAGCCAGAATTTTGTAACAGAGCAATTGTGGCGAGTGGCTTGAGCGGGCCTATTCCTGCTGGACTTTCTCTTTTAGTAAACTTAGTTGATCTGTAAGTATGGTTTATCATGCGGAGAGTTTCAATTTTACACGAAACCCATCCCTTCCCACATCAGTTGTATTTGGTCATGCTTAAAATTTTTCTGCAGGAGAATTAGCAATTTAAATGGACCCGATTCAAATTTTCCACAACTTGATAATATGACAAAGTTGGAAACAATGTGAGCCATATGCTGTTGGTTCTGTTGTTGTTTTAGTTGTAGCATTAACCACATGACTGCATAGAATATGCTAGCGCCTGAGTTGTTGGCCTCTTGTCTCAGCATATTGAGGAGCTGCAACATTGTTGGATCTCTTCGACTTGACTTTACCGAGAGCATGTCTTATTTGCTTGTGTTGTAAGTCCAGGAGTCCACTTTCATGTTGGAATTTTCTTTTACAATTTTTCTATGGCTCTTAAATTTTTAGAAATTCCTTATAACGCATTCTGATTGCTATATGAGTTTAACTTTTCTTTAACGAAGCATCCAATGCACAAACAAAGCTACATCGTATAAATTGCTTATGCTTCCATGCATGATTGTTAATTCCATTTTAGTTTTATGCGTATTGTATTTTATACACAATTCGTTTCATTGAAAATCCAGAGCATTACTCTAAATGTTGATAAACCCTTATAACTAGTCCAGTTTTGTTTCGAGGAGTGAGAATAATGCTAGCTTATCTTTTCTTTATTCAGTTATACGTAAGTCTGACATCGTCCTCCATTTATAAATACACGTAACAACAATCTCTCTTCATTAAAGGCTTTTCAAAGCATTTATTAATTGAGATGAAACATTCAACTGTATTCATAGAGAGAGATTGTTATATCTATGTGTGTCTCGTAAGTCATCATATCTGTGGAGTTTCTGGTTTTCATGTACCTTGTCATGTAAAATTTCATTGTCCTTCATTTTGGTTACATTGAAGAGTTTGAGTCCTTGACACTAACTATATCTTACCCCACTCCGACCTGAGCTAATCTTGGAAGGCTCATTGTCCTTTTTATATCAAACTAGTATTCTTTTTATATAAAACTAGTATTTGTAATAGTTTCAACTTCCTTGTCAAGTTTTTCTTAACAAATTGACAGATTCAGAATTTCAGACTATGGTCTTATTGCAGGGACCTCAGCTTTAACAAATTGAGTGGAGAAATGCCATCCAGCTTCACACGTCAATCACAAGTGAAATTCTTGTAAGCCAAATTTCAATTATATGTATAATAATCATCTAGAATAGCTTTCTGAGAGAGCTGGGAATATTTGTTGGAAGGACTGAACCTCCAAGGGAGAAGAGGAAAGCAGAAAAAAGCTTTTCACACAGATTAGCTTGTATGAATTCACAGGTCAAATTAAGTTGGCCTCAATTGTTGATTGTAATGATAATTTCTTAGTCCTAAAGGATGAATAAGATTTAGGGACATCTTTTTTAAGTTTTTACGCATCCCAATTCCCTTATCAGGGTCTATCTTTGTTTTAACTCTCTCCCTTCCGAGTAACATGATACAATGATTTTCCCTTTTTAACGGATCAGGACCGTGCATCCACTGCTACCCTTCCAGTTTCTGTCAACTTTAATTTCAAATGTCCATGGCAAGTATTCTTTATATTGAAATCTATATTGTCTTCCTTCTAGATATTTGTCAGGAAACATGCTAAGTGGACCAGTGCCTGATTGGTCAATAAGAAGTGAAAACAATGTGTGAGTACTTCTCCTTCAAATATAATTCTTGCCATTCTTCAAAAGGAGCTTAGTCGTTATTGTTGGAAAACGATAATAAACTAGTATTATTTGTTTGCCTTTCGCTTGATGTGCATTTGTATTCTTTAGTATCTTACTATCTTTTTTCTGCTGCATCTTTTGTCACCGGTTATGATCTGTGTTCTGTTTTTAAGTGTCCTTAATTTCAACGAACCTTCTATTTGTGAATGAAGTTTAATAAACTAATGTCTATTATCCCTTCTCCCTTATTTAATTGGATAATTTGAAAGTTGCAACAGCCCCCTTAAGTTGTAAGAACTACTACCTCCAGTCCTTAATATAAGAGCGAACTTGATTTTTAATTTGATGCTAAATATAAGATCTCAATTTACTTTGTCTTTCATATTTATTTATTTTTTAAAATTAATTCTTGTAGTAGTTGCATGTGTTAAAGGTTTTATCATTTAGTAATCTTATCTAATACACATGATTAGCAGAGATATTTTAGGAAAGACAATACCTATTTATTACAAATAACTAATTAGACTAATTTTTTTAATCTCTCCAAATTATTTAACTAGATCTTATCTTAAGGACCAGAAGTAGTATTAAAACTATGATACTCCTCCAGTCCTTAATATAGGACCTAATTGTTAAGTTAATTTTGATCCTAAATATAAGACCTATTTCTCATATTTATCAATTTTTTCTAAATTATCCCTATATATACTCTATTAACTATAACCAAGTAAATGAGAGAGGAATGATATTAAGAAAGATGATTATGGTGTTTTAGGAAAAACATATCATATTTATTATAATTAACTAACTTATCTAACTTTCTTAATCTAATCAAATTAGTTAAATAGTCTTATATTAAAGACCGGAGGAGTATTATTTTCGTGCGTGGACAACTAGTATATCATTGTTCCCTGCTTTGAAGATTTCCTTGGTAACTTCATATTCTTGAAGGTCTTATGTTATTGTTATTGTTATGTTTATTTACGAGATCCTTAGAAAGATTATTTTGGTGTATGAAATGGGCTTCCGTTTGCTGATAACTTACTTCACAGTTAGCGAAAGCCAACTTGGCTTTTCCTTATAGAAATTCATTTGATGTGGGGGGGGGGGGGGGGGACTAGACAGAGAATGCAAGCAAATTAGGTAGAGAAAGGTCACCAAAAGAAAAGAAAAATAAAACTATCTAGAAGCATGGCAAAAGGTAACCTTTTAAAAGATTTACTGCATATGTGATTGACATTCCATATCTTTTGTGCAGAGACCTTTCTTACAACAACTTCAGCATCAGCAACTTGAAGCCTTCACTTTGTACACAACAGAATGTGTAGGAATGCTTGAACCGTTGTGAATATTTTCTTTCTTGTTTTCTGATATATCTTGAGAAAAGCTTGCTCAGCCCCCGAAGTTCTTATTTTATCAGGAATTTATTCGCAAATCCTTTGGGAGGAAACAAGTCGTAAGTTCTCAGTTATATTTCCTTTGCTTTACAATCATATATTATCCTTTTCTTGGGTCCACTGCTTTATGTTTTATAATTTATGCTTGGACGAATATATTTGTTTGGACGTCTTGGACCCATTTCATGATACTTTATATCTTCCCAATTTCAATAAAATCAAATGTAGACAGCCATTTGATGTAGTAACTAATATACAAACTGCCATGATTTGATTTTTATCATGTTAGATTTGGGATCCGTAATGGTTTTGAAGAGAAAATGAAACATAAGATTGGATTCGTGAAACATTATTCCCATGCATGTTATTGAGGAGATCCAAGCGAAGAGTGCTCCTTTGTATAATTTCTTCTTCTTCTTTCTTTCTTTCTTTTTTTTTAAGTAATTACTTTGTATAACTTCGTGTTGGCTTGCTTCCTTTTCTAAATTGATATTCGTTATAAATAATAGGGTGAATTACTCTCCTCCGTAGGAGGTGACTTCACCAAAGTCTTCCTTTGAAACCAGAAAGTACCCACAACTAAACTTATTTTGACGAAAGCAGCCTCAAGGATAAATTTTGTTAATAAAAATATGAATTACTAAAAAGAACCCTTTTCCTAAAACTTTTACTTGAGTCTTGTCTAACCTGTGCTTGGCGGAGATATGTTGAATTGGAATTTATATATAATTTATTTTTTAAAAATAGCCTTTAGCTTGTTAAGGTTTACAAATTGAAAACCAGCAATTAAGCCCTCTAACTATTTGGGAATTTTAACCTACTCTTTTCCACTGTATTAAAACTTAATCCAAGTTTCTCAATTCTTAACCGGTCCGATTAAGAATTTTGAACAAATTGATTGAGTTGAATTTTATATTTGTCCTCCCTTCTTAGAGCCTGAAATAACATCATTTCAAGTTAAAAATTTGAAAAAAAATAACAGTGATGATATTTATGCTTAAATAACTATGTTTTGTTGAATTATGTGTGATTTTATATATGAATGTTTTATTTACTAGTGAATTTTTTATTTATTTCAATAGTACTCTTTTCAAGATTATATATGAATACCTTTACACATTTCAAGGTTCTTAAATTTTACTAAATTTATAATAGTGGTCATTTTAAAATATTAAATTGTAATTTTTGTGAAAATAAATCTCCTTGTGGTACCATTTGGTTTACTTTTTTGGGGGGGGGGGTTAATTTTTTGGTTTTTAATTTTTGTTTTGGTTTTGGGTAGAGGAGAGGAATGTCTATTTAGTAATCTCTATGGAGGGGGAGGGAAGTTGTTAATCCTAGATAAAATGTTAAATGATTAAAATACTGACCTGTTCTGCATATTTTATTGTTTTTCCAGCGGACTCATCCCATGCTCCAGAGTGTGTCCTAAAGGTAAGTCAATGGATCAATGTTCAGGTGTATTTTCGATGATATGGCTCTTAAAATGTTTATCTTAAAATGTATTGCAAAAGATGAGGAAAAAGCTTTTGAATTTTTCTTAAATGTTTTCAATACTTATATTCCTTTTAGAGTAGCTGTCTTAAATGTTTCTAGTACTTACACGTCATGCTTTAAGTAATGAACATAATTAAATTAAATATTATGATTGAAAACGTGAAAGATTAATCTTGGATGTATTTGTTGAAAATAAAAATCTAGGAAATATCTAAGATCGCCACTGAAAAATTTAAAAACTGACTATTGATAATGTCAAAAGACAAGTACTAAAATTATGGCAAATAAATATTGAAAATATGAAAAAAGAGTGATAAAAAATAATTCAAAAAATTGAAAAAAAAAACTTTAGGATAACACCTTCATTTAATGGACTCTTTAGAGAGTAAATGGCAATATTAGAATTACTCATGAAAAATACTTTAAGGGTAAAATTATAACACAAAATATTCTAAGATATTAAACTCATTTAAAAAAATACTTCATGATAATTACTTTTTTTTTTTGCCAGAAAAATTTGTATTCATATCGATTAAAAGTAACAAAGTCTACGAAACACCAAAGTACAACCCAGAAAAAGTATAACTGGAATGAAAAACCAACAAAATATAGAAACAAAACACAAACACCAGAACAAAATACAAGCACAAAGGAACACTCTTCAGCTGAACAATGCAAGCCAAATCCCAATACTTCAACAAACAAGAACGGCGGTAGAAGGTGGTTGTCCCAAAGACTTGCTTAACAATTGAGTCCAACTTCTTTGACGCCAATGCTGCATCCACAATGACAGCTTTAAACCACTCCCTTGAACCAAGAGAGGAAGAGTGTTGCTGAAAGCCAAAAAAGACCTCCAGGACAAGAAGCATAAGAAATCTAGACCTTGCATCATTCTGCCTAGGAGCACCAACAAATAAACACAACACTTTTTTTATAACCAAAGAAATAAGAAGACAATCCCCTCCTCCAGGTGGAACCCATCTCAAATCATCCTGCTTCTTTGAAACAACTTGACCAGAGTTTGCAAAAGATCTTCTCTTCCGGGAAATAAGAGAGAAAAAACTCAAAACAATATTCATCTCTGTTAACTCAACATCCTCATAATCAGCACAAAGAGCCCACATTAGACTTTCAAATAGAAGTATAACAATTGGTTGAACAATCTCGTACCATGCCAAATTCATTCTTATGTGAACCTCCTTTCTTTCCATTACTTTTCCACATAAAGGATAGTTAAAAAACATTCCAAAAGCTCTCTTCAACCAGATCCATTGCATCAAATTGATCCAAATATTCAACAAATAGAGCAGGACAAAGCAAAAATTATCATACCTTAGGATCATTAGATTTTGATATTCTTCATGATAATAACTCAACCTTAACCATATTTACTATTGTAAATTACTACTTTTAGAATAACATAAATTAATGAGGTATTAAAATTCTCTTTTTCATATTTTTATTTTAATTCATGAGGTATTCTTGTGAGTTTTTAAACTTCAACTATGAATGAAATGTGTTCCATAACACTTCCATTATTTAAATATGGGTTAAGCTATATCTAGTATCCTGAAGTATTTTATACGGTGCATCCAGCACTCTAAAGTACTCCTCCGGTTATTAATATAAGATCTAATTGTTAATTTGATTTTGATCCTAAACATAAGATCTATTTTTCATATTTATTAATTTTTTCTAAATTACCTCTATGTATATTCTCTCAACCATAATCAAATAGAAGAAAGAGAGACGATATTAAGGAAGATGATTATGGTTTTTTAGGAAAAACATGTCATATTTTTTATAATTAACTAACTTACCTAACTTTTTTAATTTAATCAAATTAGTTAAATAGGTCTTATATTAAGAACCGGAAGAGTATTTTTCAACTGAGTCCAGCATTTGAAATATATATTTTTTTCTTGGTGTTAGATGCACCAAAAATTATTTTAGGGTTAAAAAAATACTTGACAATACTTGGAGGTGTCCATGCACCGTTTATGTACTGTTTGGTATGAGGAGAATAGATGGGAGGACAAAATTTCAATAAGTTTTATTTAAAAATTGGAGAAGTGGGGTTTTAAAATTTTAATAAAGAGAAGAAGTAATACAGAAAACTAATAAAAACTAATTAAAAGCTTTTAAGTTCACTTCTTCAATTTTTTAAATCGGAGCTTATTAAAATTGTTCGTCCCTTCTATTTTCATTTTCTTTCGTACCAAAAGGACCTTTAAAGATTTAGGAAGCTACTAACTTACTAGATCCTTTCTGCAAATCTCTCAGCTTACTATTCGTTCCGCATAAATTGTGGTGGAAAGGAAGTATATGTTGGAGGGAAAAAATACGACGAAGACCTTATCGAGGGACAGGCATCTCAATTGTTCGTGAGTGAAAGATCAAACTGGGCATTCAGTAACACTGGTCACTTCATTGATGATGATCAACGTCTCTCAAAATCTTACATTGCGGATAATGATAATAATAATTCAGGACTACTCTTTATGCCGAATTCTGAACTTTACACAAATGCACGCCTCTCCCCCATTTCTCTGACTTACTATGGTTTTTGTCTGGAGAATGGTAACTACACAGTAAACCTTCATTTTGCTGAGATAATGTTTACTGCTGATAAAAGCTTCAGGCGCTTGGGAAGACGAGTATTTGATGTTTACATTCAGGTATAGAAGTCATGATTTTTCTACCCAATATAATTCTTCACGTCTTTTGTCAATTCAAGAAATTCATCAACCTCGTTATCTCACCTATTCAATTTGTATTGACATCATTATAAACAAGTCCAACAACATTTTCAGATCCTAGTGTTATATGAAACGTGTAGTAATTGGATGGAAATATTAGGGAAAATTGGTGCAGAAGGATTTCAATATTGCAGATGCAGCAGGAGCTGGTAAGGCGATCACAAGAAATCACACTGTTGTAGTTAACAAGAACGATTTGGAGATTCGCTTATATTGGGCTGGGAAAGGGACAGCCAGTGTTCCTGATAGAGCGGTATATGGCCCTCTCATATCAGCAATTTCTGTGGATGCAGGTGTCTCGTATTGCTTAATAAATTATATTTTCTTGTCAATCACTAAATTCTGTGATATACTCTGTAGACGGTATACGTCATCTTTGATGTTTATGTTACCAGATTTTGCAATCCCCTCGCATAGTCGAGGTCGTCTACCTTTAGGAGTTGTTATTGCAATTGTGGTTGTAGGGGCAATTATGATTGGCTTGGCTATGCTTTGCTGGATATACTTTGCAAAGGAAAAAAGTACACTTGATCAAAGTATGTGCAAAGTTGTTGTTGTTTTTGTCATTACAATTACCATATATTTTTTAACCGAGGCTCTCAAGTAGATTTGAGCAGAATGTCTTTTACTCTGCCGACATAAATTTGGCTGTGTAAGTTATGTGTACCCATGCATAAGCTGCTTATTTTTACCTTGCTCAAATCTGAAATGGCAATGGATACAATGTTTGATTAATCCCGTTATTTCATTTATTTTATGTCACTGTGGATCAAATGATATGCATGAGATTGAATAAAATGCAATTTACGTAGCTGTTTATCTTGCCACTAGAAGCTTTGGACATGCGAACTGGTTCCTTTACCTTGCGGGAAATTATGGCAGCCACAAACAACTTCGACGATGGCAATAAGATTGGAGAAGGAGGTTTTGGTCCTGTTTACAAGGTGTCTCATTTGAAATAAATGTTTTCTATTCATTTATTGTGTGATTTTCATATTTTCTCAATAATCTCTCAAGTTGTTCTTTTTCTAATCTGATACCACTTATACTGTTGATCAAAAATATAGGGCTTCTTGTCAGATGGAACCGTGATAGCCGTCAAGCAACTCTCTTCTAGATCACGTCAAGGGAATCGTGAGTTCTTAAATGAGATAGGGATGATTTCTGCTTTGCAGAACCCTCATCTTGTTAAGCTTTATGGATGCTGTGTTGAGGAAAGTCAACTACTTCTGATATATGAGTACATGGAAAACAATAGCCTTGCCCGTGCTTTATTTGGTGAGATTTAGCTTTTATGCATGATCTATGATTTCACCGATTATGGGCATTTTCCATGCTTTCATCTTCTTTAACTCCGCTACTTTGCAAACGAAGGCCTAGAAAATTGCTGGCTAGAGCTGGATTGGTCCACAAGAAAAAATATTTGCATTGGTATAGCCAAAGGTTTGGCTTTTCTGCATGAAGAATCAAGACTGAAAATTATTCATAGAGACATTAAGGCCACTAATGTTCTACTTGATAAAGATCTTAATCCCAAGATTTCTGACTTTGGTTTGGCCAAGCTTTATGAAGAGGACAACACACACATTAGCACCAAAATTGCTGGAACTCGGTTAGTTAATTTACTCTAACTGACATTTTTTGACGATTTATTATCATATTGATGAAACAAAAGCAGACTCATGGTGGTGACATCACCTTTATGAAAATGATGTTTATGTTGATTAAAATTGTATTGTAACAGAATATAAAGAAAAGATTTAATTCAATGGCATTTGCTTTTGGCATTATCAACTCTTGACATTTACTATAACACATGAAATCTTCATCATGTAGTGGTTATATGGCCCCTGAATACGCAATGCATGGATATTTGACCAAGAAAGCAGATGTTTATAGTTTTGGAATTGTACTTCTAGAAATCATCAGCGGCAAAACCAATACCACTCAACTGTCAGTGGAAGAATGTTTTTATTTGCGCGATTGGGTAACCTTCATCTTATGCTCCATTACACTTTTGTTAATAGACCTTGCTAGATATTGTTGAACACGGCTGTTAGTTTTGGTTAGCATGACAAGAGAGTAATCAATAATGAGTCCACATTAGGTGAATAACAGCTTAAATTTTGGATATAATTGAGCCGATCTTGCTCGGCTTTTTTGTGTATGTATGTGTGATATATACTTCAGATAATAATATAACGATATGAAATTGACATGAGCTGTTGCTGCACAGTACTAGTGCTTGAATTAAACTTTGACCTTGACATCTAAGGCTGCCATTTATGTACTCTTGTTTATCAGGCACATCATTTGAAAGGAGGTAATCTGATGGATCTGGTGGATCCAAGGTTGGGTGAGGACTTTAACAGAGAGGAAATAATGGTTGTGATTGATGTGGCTCTCCAATGCACTGAAAACTCTCCAAGACTACGGCCTATCATGTCCAAAGTGCTTAACATTCTTGAAGGCAGGCCTTTTGTTGGAGAGGTAGTCTCAGATGATGAGAGTGAGATTATGGATGGCGACTTGAAATTGGATTGGACGAAGAAAGAAGAAGCTGATGAAGATGAAACCCAGGCGGTAATTTTGTCAAGCCATCGGTCTCATACTACATATAAATCTTTTTCTCAAACGAAATAGGTATTGTACACGTGGCCCCCTTATTTTAAAGGGAATAATAAGAAAAAATATCTTATAAATACTATTTGAATTCCAAATTCTAAATTAGTCATTCTAGTTTCACAAATAGGTATTTGATTGTAAAATTGAGATTTGTAAATTTTGCAAATTACCTCCATGCCCTTTGTCTCCTCTCCCTCCCTTCAAGTTGCAGAAAGATGAATCTCTCACTATCTTCTCTCTCATCGCCTTTAATGCACAATCAAAGTCTGATTACAAGGACGTGAGCAAAGAATTTTTTATTTCATGTTGATTTGCAAGGCGCCATCATCTTCTTCAGGCTGGGAGAGACTATCGGACTGTTTTAAGGTAGAAAGGAGAGATCGCTGTCAACTTTGGGAGCATGCCATTCTGCAGCAACCGGTCCTCGTCTTCTTCAAACAGCAAAAATCGTGGATTATTTCTCTTGAATCGAATAATAAGAGAGATCTCAACTTTGTTGCTTCTATTGCTGATTTATTCAAAGGAAACCATGGGAACCAAAGTGGCAACCGTGGGTTATCTTCTTCAGAGAGAGAATACATGACTAGACATTCTTCTTCCCCAACCATGATAGTGCCCAATGTAGTTACTATCATGAGCATTTTGGTTTTTAGTAAATGCCATCAGTATAGTTGTTAAACCCATTAAAAGTGTTGCTAATCATATTACTATCCAATGTTCAATGAAATCATGCAATAGGTCGTTTTCTAATGGTAAGGAATTGATGCAACAGGTGAATACTTATGTCTTGAATAATAAATCCCCTTATTGAATTAGCCAAGTTTGGAAATTGTAAAAAAAAATTAGTTGTTGGCATTTTCAAAGTTGTAAAAAGGGAAAACCATATTGAAGGTACTTATACTTTCTCTCAATTTTTAATTTGGTACCTATGTGTTTTTTTCTCTTTAATTAAACATTTAATTTTATCTTTTTAGCAACATTAGCTTTTATAACTTTGTTCTATTGATATTTTTAGTCTCTACATAAGGATTAATGATGTTAATAGAGCAAAATTAAAGATTTAGTTAAGAACAAAAAACACATAGGTACCAAATTGAAAATTGAAAAAAAGTATAAGTACCTCCAATATGGTTTTCCCTTGTAAAAATGGTTATAGTTGTTGTTAATGTCATTATAAGTATAAGAAATGTCTTAAATAATGATTCCTGTTGGTCGACTTACCGGGTTTGGAAATTGCCAAAAAAGTGTAGTAAATTGTATTAACCAAGGTGTGAAAATGGTCAAAAGTGTTGTAAAAATCATTACAAGTGTAGGCGACAGCTTAAATAATGCAAAAGAATGGGTTGTTAAACAACGACCTCTTGATGGAATTCCTTATAAGTTTCTAAAATGATTAAAAAACAATTATAAATGGTGTTACCAAAGTTGCAAAGATGGTTAGATATGTTAATTTCATTGTAAGTATAGGAAACGATTTAAATAATGACTTATTGATTGAATTCTTCCTAAGTTTTGAACTACAATTTTAATGACTTGTAACCATATTTTTTGTAAGTCGAGAAAAATTTCTCACATATTCGTTTTGTATAATGTAAGTCACGACTGAGAAACTGTTTACAAGTCATTTCAAACTTTGATATGGGTAATTTAGTCATTTAACTTTCAAACTTTAATTTGGTTAATAGGGATTATTTTTTTTAAAAAAAAAAGATATAAAGGCTTAAAAGGCTTGCTCTAAACCCTACATGACAGGCCCATTTAAGTTTTGAGCCCATAAGCCCATGAAGACTAGCCATTTTAAACCCCAATTGTGGAAAAATTACATAAGGGCTTGTTTGGTAATTTGAAATTGATTTCGATGAAAATAGAAATGGAAATTGATTGTGGAAATGAAGTTTGAAAATGTATTTTTAAACAGACCACAATGCCCTTCAGCATCTTTCACAATCTGAATCCAAAAGCCCATCTTCTTTGTGCCGTTGATGCTCAACCAAGTCAACCAAGAGCTTCTGCCATTGAAACTCCCCAAGTCCTCAGAGGTCAGAGCCAAATATTTAACCAGCAAATTAAAGCCCAAAATCGTTGCTTAGTTTTGAAAGCTCAGATTCTCATCACATCTCTCATGAAAGTCAGAAATCTGAAGGTGAAAAAAAAACCTATATTTTTTCTGACTCAACATTTAAAGATTGTAAAAAACAAAATCAAATCATAATTTTAAAAATAATTTATATCAAAAAATTTGTCTCAATTATGGAAAACTTTTTTTAAAAAACACTTTTGATAATATCCAAATACCCTTTTAATAATCCCATATAAATTACAATCAATATTTATTTTTTTATGAACATAAATAATTCATTCTTAGAGTGTTATTTTTTTGGAAAAAATGAAAAAAAAACTAAAAGAATGTTAATAAAAATTTGTTGTTATTTATATGATTAGTATTGTTTACACTAAATAAAGTGTTGTTATTAAACCTGATTTGGAATTTAGTAATTTTTATCTCTTCAGTATTGTTAACACTAAATAAAATATTATTATTATTAATAATTTTATTTTATTTTAGTTATTTTTTTTTCCTTTTTGGGCCAAAGTAATAAAATATTTTTAAAGGGATGATTTACCGCAAAACGCTACTGTATTTGGCCACATTTGCGTCGGTGTGACTGTGCATAATTTGGGGCCCGACCTGAAGGACTCTTTCTTCTTCTGGGGGTGGCCATTACCGTTACCATAAAGAGGAGGAAGGCTGCTTCAAAGGGGGAGAGAGCAGATCGGAAATGGGGATGGAGGTGGAATGCAACGGTCGTCGCCTGCAACTGTTGATCATGTCCACCATTGTTCTCCAATTTTTGCTTGGGGTGGAGAGCAAGTGCGACTTGTTCACGGGTACGTGGGTTTGGGACCAATCCTACCCGCTTTACCGACCCGAAATGTGCCCCTTCATCGAGCACGAGTTCGCCTGCCAACGCAATGGCCGTCCCGACCAACTTTACACCCATTTCCGGTGGCAGCCCCTTCAACATTGCTCCTTTCTCAGGTTTCCCCTCTCTTTTCTTTTCTGATATCTCTCCCATTTTCATTCCCAACCCAAACCAGATTTGTTTTCTTCTTCAATACATTATTCTCTGTTTCAGCATTCATTACAACTGTTATGCGAAGTGTTTCATCATCTTGAATTGAATAATGTTATCATTTGTTTCACTTTTACTTAGCTCATCAAAGTGGCTGGTGTGAGCTTGGCTTTCTGGTATGGACTGCGAATCCAGCCTGGAAGGTAATAATGATTAATGAACCATTAATAAGTTTATGGGAATTAAAATAAATAAATAACTTGAAAGGAAAAAGGGTGGTATTAAAATTAAAGAGATATGAAAAAGGTAGTAACATTTTAGGGGCTATCTGGTTGGCAAACAAATATTCACATGCAGCAGCTGGATTCCCTTAGCCGCTGTGTGATATGGGAGAACGTGCTTCCGTCCAATTATTACTATTTGTCCTTTGTCAGGCCTCTTGTTTTTCTTTCCTCTTTTTGTCCTTCACTTTTCAGTTAATGCCCATTGACTCCTCCTCTTCTTGTATCAGATTTGACGGTGTGGATTTCTTGGAGAGGATGAGAGGGAAGAGCATAATGTTTGTGGGAGATTCACTGAGCAGAAACCAATGGCAGTCACTCACTTGCATGCTTCATTCTTCCATCCCTTCTTCCAATTACACATTGACACGTATCGATGATCTGTCCATCTTCACTTTCACGGTAACCTCCTCTTAACTTCCTCCATTTTCTCCATATATTTATATCCAACAGATTCTATTATTCAATCATAATTAATTACCTCTCAGCTATATATTATCTCTTCATTTATCTTGCTCTTATTTATTCATATATAATAATGATGAATGTGGAAGTGAGTGGTGCTATTATTATGGTGGGAGTACAAGTAAAAGAGGAAATGAATGTGGGGAGGGGCAAAAAAGTGGTGCTTTTGTGCTGTGTCCCCCATGTGCACAAGTTACTCATGCAAAATGGCTGCCCTTCCTTGTTGGCTTACCAACCCATACCTACAAAATTCAATAATGTCGTCAACTCGTGTACTTTTCTACCCACTTGTGAGTTGTGAATTGTGGCCACCACCTTCATAAAACATCAAAATACATGTTATATAATATAATATGGAGATAAACACAAGTTCAAATGACAGGAAAAGTATTTGCCGAGAGATATGAAATTCTTTTGTACTCCTTTTTTTTTTTTGAATTAAAAAGATAGACACTAACATCCTGAAATTAAAAGTGAGATTGAACCCGTGACCTCTCACTTATAAGAAGAACTTATATATCACTAGGCTATAAAGCCATTAGAAAACCCTTTGTGTTTTAAACTTCAAAAAGGATACTCTTGATCAAATAAAAATATATAATAAATATTACAATATATATTTTATCAATATAAAAACAGTATACTTAACAAAACAAATTAGGATGCATCAAATTGTGTAATTTTTTTTCAGAAAAAGATAAATAATATTCAATAAAACTTTTCTCTCGCAGAAAAAGTACATATTTTTCCCGATAGATATTATTTCATTTAAAAACGGTGTGAACCATATTTTATAAAAGGCGTAGGTTGAAAGTTCACTGTGCATTTAAGAATTTTATTAGTAGGTAGCTATTTATAAGCATATTTATAAGTGCTGCCTGAGCATTGAAACCCCCCTACCTCGTTGAGTTCCTTTCAATGCATCCCACTCACCTAAATTTTTTTTAAAAAAATTATATTTGTTAGAGGAAAACTATAATAAGATCAGTGTGTATAAAAAAAAACTATAATAAGATCAGTGAAATATTTCCGGTAATAAATCTAGTTTTAAAAGACAATAATTCACTCTGGATTTTCTGAAGAAAGAGAGGGAAAGGGAATGCAGGAATATGGAGTGAAAGTGATGCTGGATCGGAACGTGTATTTGGTAGATGTGGTGAAGGAACAGAGAGGCAGAGTATTGAAGCTTGATTCCATTGAAGGCAGCAAGCTGTGGCTTGGCGTTGATCTTCTCATCTTCAACACTTGGCATTGGTGGAACCGCAGAGGCCCCTCTCAGCCGTATCCACATCTCATCTTTTCTCTCTTTCTTCTTCTTCTTTTTTTTTTAATTAAAAATAATTATTCATGAGGGTTTTGTTCCTTCAAATTAATTTCAGATGGGATTATATTCAATTAGGAAATGAGGTTTACAAAGACATGGATAGAATGAAGGCTTTCCAAATAGCTCTCACCACTTGGGCTTCTTGGGTGGACGCTCACCTTCATCCTTCAAATGTCAAGGTTTTCTTTCAAGGCATTTCACCCTCTCATTACAAGTAATCATCTCTCTTTGATTTCCCTGCTTATCCCATTCTTATACAGGGTATTTGTTTAACCTATACTTTTGATTCAACTCTAACTTAATTTCTAAATCCGTACAATTCAGTACTTATAGTTTTAACTCAGTTATAATATATTCAGTATCTAAACTTTGCCTCGATATAACCTGGTCCCTATAGTTTAATCATTTTAAAAAAATTGGTCCCTATGTTTAAAAAAAAAAGAAAAAGATTATATTTTTCATGAATCTCAGGGGACTAATTTTAAATGGTAAATTGCACCAAATTATAATTGAAGGGTTGAGTTATAATCAAGTCATAGCTATAAAAATTGAATTACATCGAGTTAAATTTTAGATATTGAATTACAATTAAATCAAGACTATAAGATAAAAAGATGAGAATTATAATGACATCCCAAATAAGAAAAATAATTGAAAAAACAAGTCTCAGAGGTTATTATTCTTATTATAAGACTTATCATTATAGGCTGTTGAAGTTATTATTATGACTTTTTAGTAATTATTTCTTTTCTGTAGGACTTGTTTGTAATTCCATTTAAAAAGATTAAACTTTTCGTAGATAATTGTCCACTCACTCATCTCTCCACTGTATCTTTTAGTGGTACCCTATGGAATGAACCGAGCGCCAAGAGTTGTGCCCGGCAGCAGACCCCGGTGAGCGGATCTACCTATCCGGGAGGGCTGCCGCCGGCGGTGGCGGTGCTGAAGAGTGTGCTAGAAAAGATGAAGAGCCCAGTGACGTTGCTTGACATCACGATGCTCTCATTGCTGCGGAAAGATGGACATCCTTCAATGTATGGGCTTAATGGCCCAACAGGATTGGATTGTAGCCATTGGTGTCTCCCTGGTGTTCCTGACACTTGGAACCAATTACTTTACAATTTAATCCTTTGATATTTTTATTCATCATTCTAATTTGATTCTTACATTAATGTACCACTACCATCATTGTTTCTATTTGAACTACATAATCTTTAATTAGATTTCTTATGTGCATTGTATTGGTATTTTACTACATTTAAATAAAAATTATATATCTTATAATTTGTTAATTATAGCTAATGGGGATGCTCATTAAAAGACACGTAATTGCCACAAAATACAAAATTAAAAAAAAGATGGTTTTAAAATTAAATGGTGAAATAAAATTAATTATTTTAAAAAAATAAAAATTATTATGGTCGCAATTATCTCTTTAGATTTATATTGAGTGAGAACACCATGAGTTATTAACGTTACTTTTCGTATAAATTAATAAATCAGTATAAAATTAATATCTATAATTGAGCGTAAGGATCCAATTAAAAAAAAACAACAACTTGATTAAAAATCAGATAAAATTATGTACGGATTATTTTTTGTTGGGTAAATTAGAAATAGAAATATTAGGTTAAATACGCAACGGAACGTACCAACAACGCTGACAACAGTGCACTACCTCAAACAGTGATAGGCTCAATAAACTTTGTTTTTTGTTTAATGGGACTCTTTCATTAAATATTATTTTTCCTATTTATGTGATAGAATCTCCTCATGTGACCCACTTCTCATTTGTAAGTAATTGCTTCTTTCATTCAAAATCTCATCTTTGGAAGATAAGTATCTTGTTTACGCAAATCTTATAACCCTTTTATGTCCATTGCCCCAAAAAAGCGTATTTATGTTAGATTCATATTTGACGTGACCCCCATGCATTCCTCTTTTTATAATAATAATAATAATAATAATAAAGCAAAACAATAGGTTCGGAAAATAAACTTTGTCATGAATATTTATGATATAAAAATTCATATTTTGGAAAATAAAGACTATAAATTTATTGTTTTAATATCTTTTTTTTTTTTTGGTGTGTGTGTGTATGTGTTCTTGTTCTTGTTTATTTTGGGTATTAAAAAGACAGAGGACCTCGTAAGTCACTCTAAGGTAAGGGGCACAAAGCTGAAATTTTGAAAGATTTTGATTGGATTGGAAATTATACGCCATCCATTCTGCTTCATATTTTTCTTTAACTTCCGTATTTTTTTTTTCAATTCATTTATTCAGTCGCATGCATTGCAAAAATGTTTGAAACCATTGGTGAAAGGATGAAATACATATTTTCCGAGATGGGAAACCAAAAGGCAGACGTTGAAAGTTGAGACCCAAAAAAGAAAAAAGAAAAAAAAAGAGGAGCTTATATGTTGAATGTGCAATTGGAGACAGCAAGGAGTGAGCACTTAGTGCCAAAATTTCAGCACAAAGAGGCTAGCTAGTTTGTACCCAAGTGGCGAACACAGAGAGAGTCAGAGAGCCAGATTTGAAGACAGATTCAAGACAAAGAATGGGGCAGAGGTTGAGACGTCTACTACTAATATTGGCATTTCAATGGAGTGTTGTGGATCTTGTTGCGGTACAGGGCAGAGCATTTGGGCGTCAAGACGAAGAACAGAAGAAGTGTAATTTGTATGAAGGAAGTTGGGTCATTGATTCTTCATACCCTCTCTATGGCGCTTCCAAGGATTGCTCCCTCATCGTCGGTCAGGGCTTTGATTGCCTCAAAAATGGCCGACCTGATAAGGATTTTCTATCTTACAGATGGAAGCCCTCTGCTTGTGACCTCCCTAGGTTTCTTCTTCTTCTTCTTCTTTGAGATTCTTCGTCTTCATATTCTGTGTGTTTCTGGGTTTGATTGTTTTAGATTGAAATTGCAATGTGCTTGAAGATGGTGATTTTCTTCTTTCTTCTCAGTTTGAACTTTGAATGTGGTCCAGGTTTAATGGGAAGAAATTCTTGGAGAGAAACAGAGGGAAGAAGATAATGTTCGTGGGGGACTCCATTAGCAACAACATGTGGCAGTCACTTTCCTGCATGCTCCACACTTCAGTCCCAGATACAAATTACAACTTCATGAAGAAGCCTAAGAATCTCTTGACATTCCTATTTCCGGTTCACTCCTCTCTCTCTCTCTCTCTCTGATACTATTTCCCCCCCCCCCCCCCAAAGTCTGCAGATTAACTTTATAAAACTTTATCCCCTTTTGTTTTCTGTGGGATTATAGGAATATGGAACTGAGATTACGTGGTTGAAGAATGGATTTCTAGTGGATTTGGTGAAAGATAAAGAAAAAGGAAGGATTCTGAAGCTGGATACAATAAGTTCTGGGGACCAGTGGAAAGGGATAGATACTTTGATTTTCAACACCTACCATTGGTGGACTCATACAGGATCGTCTCGAACGTAAGGCTTTTTAGCTTCCAACGTGGCATAATTTATTAGAGAAGGTAAAGTTGGTGGTGACTAATGGCTTTATTTTATGAATGTTGACCAGGTGGGATTATTTTCAAGTGGGGACTAAGTTGATTAAAGACATGGATCACATGCAAGCTTACAGGATAGCATTAACCACATGGGCTAAATGGGTTGATTCTAACATTGATCCTTCAAAAACCAAAGTTCTGTTCCAAGGCGTTGCTGCCTCCCACGTTAGGTAAGTAATTTTTGGATTTTTAAGATTGTTTTACGTAATTTCCTATAAGTTGGACTCTTAATCTCGATTATAAATCTCAGAGAAAGAGTGAGAAATGATAACCATATGCAGAACCCAATGCAACACAAATTTTCATTGTTAATTGTCACTCTTTGCGAATCCCGTGAATGATTCTGACGCAAACTTGCAAAATAAGAAATCCTAAAGTTCTAATACTCATATTCCAAATCTGATATAATGAGTATTATTTACTATGAGGGTTTTAATGATCTTTCGGTTTTTTGAACATTTTGAAGTGGGAAGGGCTGCCTGGGAAAAACTCAACCAGAGCAAGGGGCTGAGCCGCCGTATCCCGGGGTAGACATAGTGAAGAGCACTCTGCGAAACATGCGCATACCAGTTCATTTGCTTGACATAACTAAACTCACACAGCTTAGGGTTGATGGCCATCCCTCCATCTTCACAGGCAGAGGCGCTTCCTTTGTTGATTGTAGTCACTGGTGTCTAGCCGGTGCTCCTGATTCTTGGAATGAACTCTTGTATGCTGTTTTGATTGGCAACTAATTATTAATAACATCGTCGTCTCTAAAGCTTGCGATATTCTCTTACTGTTTTCGAATCAGGAAACCATACTTCCATAATTGACACATGGGAGTGCCAGTCTGCCAGATAACTCATCTAATTTTGACAAATGAACCAGTATTTTGCATGCTTGACACTGTTGTCGCTTGCCAGAACTTGGATCTGGAAGCACCCATACTTCTTAATGGTTAATTACATTACATCTCAAATTATGATAAGGCAATTATCAGTGACTCTCACACCCTCTGTTAAAGACTGAATCTTTTGTGAAAACAATTACTACATTATCCTCTTTAACCTTGGAGTGCTTTGTCTGGATCCCTATTCCAAAATGATCTGGGGGCTCAGCGCTATCAAATCACTAACAGCATTACTTTCGTTTATTGTAGCTTATCCGCATCTTTTCTTTCACTCGGGGGGAAAACATAGCCGCAACTTGGAATTCATATTAAAGAACTAATACATATCTATGAACTGAAATCTACAACAAAATATTATCTCGAGAATTTGATCATTGAGCTTGAAATAAAACAATCAAGACAATAATTATACACCACTACAGGTAATGTAAACGTCATTCCATATCACCGGTACTTGACATATCTCATCCTCTGTACATCTCAGCTGAGTCTACCTCCGCTTTTCTATTCTTTTATCCCTTATCGGCAACTCAATGGGCTTTTGGGCCTGGTGTGGATGGTCTGGGCCCTTATAAACCTTTAGGTGGGTGAATAGTTGTCTTCCCAGCTGCATATATCAATCCTTAATTATTGTAGATTCAATATAGAGATAATGGCACAGCATCATATAAACACATGTACTACTCACTTCATGTAATTGTATTGTAACTACTAGCATTAGTATGGATATTGCAGTTATGACTTCAGGAAGGACTAATCATATACATATGCGAGATGTCATTCTGAACACTTGTCTTGCTAAATGACAAAATAAAACTTCATATATAAAGTTCATAATTTACAGAACTATCCCGTGCATCTAAAAGGAGAAGGAATCTTTCATAGAAATGCTAATTAATAAGTTTAAAGTCGAGATAACATCACAATACAGAACTTTCATAAACAAGTTTATCCTATTTCCATCTTATTTTGCTGCGTGAGAATTTTTAAGTGGTTCTAAATTCAAAGTCTGCAGCTAAAATGAAGTTAATATCACAAGATAAAACAATATTGATTCACTTTAACGCAATACAACTGCCTCGTCAAACAACAACCTCAGCTTACCCTTCCTTTAGGAAGCATGCCACGAACAGCATGCTCAATAATCCTTTCCGGAAGCCTCTGCTGTAGTTGGGCAAACGTCTCCACCTTCATACCACCAGGTCGTCCAGAATGTCTCCTATAAAGCTTTTGGGTCCTCTTTTTCCCAGACACAGCAATTTTTTCTGCATTCACCTTTTGAACCCACAAATACAGGGGAAACTTTTAGTCCATAGCAATCATATATCGTCTTGTACATAAGACAACACTATTATAGGCCACATACATCAATCAGATAGAAAAGGAGGGGAAAAAGCCATTAGTTCAACATGAGACTCAGGCAGTCAAGACATAGATCATCAGGAATTTTGACTAAGCCTCCGGTTTATTGTTAGGAAAATTGGCTGAGATGATTTCCTTCTCAATCAGGACACAGATTCAAGACTAAAGGTATTCCTAAATAATAATACATTAATGTTAGAGAGAAGAGTTCCAAAGTAGAGACATCACAGCTGTTTAACCAGATTGTCTGCATACCACAAACACCAAACAATGGTACCCTATTCCCTTAAAAATAACAAGCAAAGAGATGATGCACTGTTAATGACTTGGTTTGCACATCAGGCAGTGACATCATATCGGTGTAAAGAGACTTAAAAATACATACCACAATTACAAAGGCGCCCATGTCGACACTGGGAGTATAGGTTGCCAGATTTTTCCCTCTGATGTAAATAGCAATTGTTGATGCTAATCTCCCGAGAATTTTGTCTGTAGCATCAACAATGTACCATGGTTTATCTGTATTCACATGATCTGCAGCTTTTGGATACCAGGTCTTGTTCCAAATGTCCTGCATTTTGTTTTTGATGGTTGATCGATAACTCTCCAATGAAGCATCTAAACAATTTATAAATTAAAATGCATGGTAAATTAGATGTCAAGATAAATTTTCGACAGGCCGATATGAAAATGCTGATGCATTTGTAGACCAAATGGATTTAATTTGAAGTGAGAAATTCGAATACATCGGAGGTAGAAGTAACGTACCGGTTAACGACTTCATGCAACTGATATTAAAAGATAAGGCGGCGAAAAGTACACAGATTATAATTATGTGAAGAAAATACAGAGTTAGAGTATTATTCGAACTATGATCCAAAAATGCCTGCTCAGATATGTTCTAAAGCATCTAAACAAATTATTAAGCTCAATGGTCGTAGGTGCCTCATAAAACCTAGCAAAACTGGATTAAGGAAAGAGGAGAGCGCTAATGAGCACAAAAGTTTAAAACTTCGCACTTCTAGCCGTTCTTTCAATCGAATTAAAGAGCAAAGCTTTCCTTTTCTTTTCTTTCTTGGCTGGTTTTGAACTTCGATTTCCCAGTAACTGAGTAGCGGAAGAACTTCGATAAAGTTCATGGACTGGAAAACAAGTTGAAGGAGAAAAGAGAGCAGGGTTTGTACCGGGCCATTAACTTCGGTTTCCTCGAACATAAAGCGTTCATCTTTAGGAACAATGGAGAGATCCTGGCACCGAACCTGAAGACCTCCCCTGGAATTGACGGGAACACTGGACCGAACGGAAGACTTCGATAATGCCAATTGGAACCCAAGAAACGGGGATTGAACATTTGAGCTCCTGTTAGAAGAAAAAAATGGGGCTGAAGTTGAAGGGAACGTCACTGACGCAGAACCACAGACCAGAGCCATAGTTGCTTAAGCCCTCTCACATTCGCGGCGATCACTGCTACTCTCCCCTGGATAACATTTTTTTTAATGGACATTTGGATAATTTTTCCATTTTTAACACTAATATATATTTCTTTCCGGTGTCATTTTTTGGGGGCCCTGATTTGCAGTGTTTTTTGAGCCGGAAGAGCCTAAACTTAGGATTTTATTTTTATTTTTTGAAAAAATGGTAAATAAATGCTCTTAGTATGTGAAATTGTGATTTGAGATTTTTAATTTAAAAAATAACAAATAAAAACTTAATCTCATATTATAAATATAAAATCTTGGTGAAATGTCTAAAATACTTTTCGGTCAAGTGATAAGTTGAATATGAAAAATGACAAGTTTATTTTAACGATTGACAATTTCAGTAGGCCAAATATTTAAATCACAACTTGACTGAGGGTATGTCAAATGATAAATTGATTATGAGAAATGATAAATTCACTTTGACGAATAACAACTCCAGTAGACTAAATGACAATTTGGTTGAAGAGTATTTCAGACATTTCATCGAAATTTCATATTTGTAATATGAAATTTGGTTTTTATTTGCTATTTTTCAAATTAAAAATCCGAAATCACAATTTTATATATCAGGGGTTTTTACCTGCCATTTTCTCTTATTTTTTTAAATCATATGTCCATTTTTTAAAATAGTCAACAGTGTTCTTCCTCTACAGGTCAAAAAAAAAAAAAAACAAACAAACAGTGTTCTTCCTGCCAATGCGATCTCTTCACTGGCGATTTTGGAATGAAAAGTGAAGATCTACTGATGAAAAAAGACAAGACTCCAAAAAAACAAACCATTCCCGCGTGATTTATGGCCTTCTCGACTAGGTAATTAGGCATCACATTCCCTGCTTCTCCGGTACCTTTCCTCTGCAACTCCGACGTTCCTTCTCACTGCCAACACATCTGGCCTCTTCTCAAAAATCCTGTTTATAAATCCTCGTCTTCGCTCAAATCCTTTGAGACCTTAAATTAGACCCCCAAATATGCAGGGTTCTTCCCATGTTGACAGTGTTCAAGGTGCTGTAATGAGTCTGATCCAGTCGTCTCCTCCCACTTGGGGATCCTCTCTTCTCAGCAATATCCTGATCTTTATTGTGGGTTCTCCGATACTGGTCACTGGATTGTCTCTATCTGGCATCGGCGCTGCTTTTCTACTCGGAACACTCACCTGGCGCGGTTTTGGCCCTTCCGGGTTCCTTCTTGTCGCCACCTATTTCATAATTGTAAGAAGAAAATTCATGTCTCATTGATTATTATTTATTAAGTTCTATCATGTGACTCTGATTATGGGGGCGGGTCTTTTTATTTTCCCTTTTGGTTTCTGGGATTTAGATTTTGTCTGTTGGGGTTAAATGTTAAGGCTTTATTAGGGTACAGCTGCAACAAAAGTCAAGTTGGCGCAGAAAGAGTCCCAGGGTGTTGCTGAGAAAAGAAAAGGAAGAAGAGGTCCTAGCAGCGTTATTGGATCCAGTGTTGCTGGTTGTGTTTGTGCCTTTCTTTCCATTTTTGGAGTTGGGGGAGAGACATGTTCTCAACTTTGGCGACTTGGATTTGTTGCCAGTTTTTGTACGAAGTTGAACGACACGGTTTCAAGTGAAATAGGGAAAGCATATGGCAAAACAACGTAAGCAATGAAGTTTGGCTTAAACTATTTTCAAAAGGATGAGTCTTTGATGTATTTAGAATTTTACGAAACCCACTGTCTTCTTTGATGCTTTACATTTTCAGGTTTTAAAATGTACATTATTCTTGAGGCTTACGTTTGATTGTCAGCTTCGTTTGAATGTACAGCTCCTCCCCGCTCTTATCTTTTCAATAAAGCTCTGTTGAAATATAATTCAAGTTGCTACCTACGTAGAAATTCTAGTATTTTCTTGTAGTGCATGTATGAGTGATATTTTTTTTGGCAAACACATGGATGATTGATATTCATTAGCTTATTGTTACCTTGAATTTTGGTGCCTTGTCTAGGATATATGCTAGTTGTCTATTTAACATGACAACCACAATCATCAGCGGTCTGAATTTATACTGATTAAAAACTCTGGTATTTTAAGATCGATGTTCTTCTAAATAGTATTTCTTTTATCTTACGTTTTATTTGCAACTCCTTCACCAACATTTTTCATACTAATGTACAGGTATCTAGTTACGAATTTCAAGATAGTTCCAAGAGGAACCGAAGGAGCTGTGAGTGTTGAAGGAACCTTTGCAGGAATTTTAGCATCCATGGTTCTAGCTTTTACCAGTTATCTAATGGGCGAGGTATTATACTAATATCCGACACTTGCATGTGATTATGGTTAGGTGAATGTTGTTTCTTATTCTACAGACAAACATTTTCAGAGTAATTCTGTATACAGAGAAATCAAAGTAAATTTTTACTTGGAGGGTCATGCTGTTGGCTTCAAGCCATGTGGTTACATTCATCCTTATTCAGATTTCGGAGATCAGTTCACCCCTTCACAAATTTTGACCCGGAAGCATGATTCTTATGTTATTCTTTAGCTCTCTATCACCCACTTCTTTGTGTGCCCATAGATTTGCCATCCTTCTATTTTAGTTGAGGATAATTGGATTTTTTTTCTTGGTTTGGAGCTGAACAAAATAATACAAATAATTTTGCATGGGATTATGTATCAGTGTTGGCATCAGAAATGTATTTGACATCTATAAACCTGGATGGATCTAAACCTGTGTTTTCCTTTTGAGTAATGAAAATCGGAACATATATGTCAAAGAGATGGCTTGCAACGACCCAATGGCTAGATATGACTGCTGCATATGGATTTCTTAGGTTAAAACATTTCAGAAAATTTTCTTTCATAATCCATTCAGATGAAAAACTCACCACGTCAAGGGGGTTCTCGAAATTGTTTCTTTGTTCTGTTTCACCCACGTTGGAGTTAACCGTGTCATTGCGACCATCTTTCAAGTCTTGCCTCTGCGCTTCAAAAGGTTAACAGGCAAGAAACAAAACCAGCATGCATTGAGCATCTCACTCTGTAGTGAGTTTCCATCATTTTGCCTCTGCTTTTTAGGTAGGAATGCGGAGGTTGAAAATCATTTAAGTTAGACGCCTGTCATGTGTTTGTGCGCGCACGTGAGCAGGTGCGTGCGTGCTTAAGGAAATTACCTGGCATTAACCAACTTTTGGTTAGATATATGAAAGTAAAAGAGATAAACTATTTCGGACACAGACTAAGTACGTGATTGCTGTTCATAGAATTTTTACTTCACCTCCCTTTTTTTAGTGCTATTTACCTTATAAGAGTGTACAAGGGGAGTTTTTACCGTGGCATCCAGAATGGTTGTTTTAAACTGTGCTCATGTGGTCTGCTTCAACTACGACATAGGCTTGTGGCCCAAAAAAAAAAAAAACTCCGAGAGACTTGAGACTTCCCATCACCTCATCGAAGATCTTCAGAGAGCAAAGGAGGATATAAATTTCTAATTCATGCAAGATCCTTCATTGTGGATTTGGGGCTTTTCGGGAATAGATGCATTTCTCATGAGGTGTTGTGTTCATGCTCCTCTCTTATCAGTAGGATATTTGTACACATTGTAGCCTTTAGCACTGGGAATCACATAGTGTTTAGTTGGTTGGAGGTAGAGAAGATATATACTTGGCTAATTGGAGCTACAGAAAGGATACAATTTTGTGGGAGGGTGCGTGCCATCGTGTTCATTTTAACGTTTGATCCTGATCTATCAGTTTAGCAAATGAAAAGGAACAAACCAAGGACTAATAAGTTTAAGTGCTTCCAATTTCCAAATTGTTTATGAATTTTCCTATTTTGTTAGTGATTGCAGATTATGTTCTTGTTGATATTTTAGTATTCCATCATTTGAATTTTAGGTCCAATTTTAGTCTGTTCCTGTGAAAGATTCCTCTCTGTATTGGCATACTTACAAACAAAATTCCTCTCATGATGCGTGCAAATTAATACTCAGAGATTGGTATCATATAAGATACACTAATCAACTTCTTCAGTGATGATGAATTACTATATATCAGGCACTATCAAATGGACCAGTATTCTGTATGACCTGTTGCTTTGTTGTGGGGTTTGATTAAATTTTCCCTCCTTTTAAAGGGAGCGTCTCTTTTGGGTATGCAGGGGGACTGGGCAGCAATGTGACCCAGTCTCTCTTTGTCCATTTATGTTTTGTATTCATGTTTGTTTTCTTGTTGGGATTTATAATGCTCTTGATTTGTATCCTTTGTCAAAATAATTCTTGTTTTCTCTAAAAAATTTAAACCACTTCTTTTTCCTTCCCCTGCATGCTTTCACAATTTTTCATTTTCCGTCCGCTCAAATCCCCTCAACTGAATTTTCTATTTCTTGTTTCTGTGAAACAGTCAGTTACGTGACAACTAAAGAACTTGAGTAAGTGATACTGATTTATTTCTTGTTTCTGCGTAACAGGTTGATACACATGAAGCGATTATATGTGTGCTAGCTTCCCAAATTGCTAATGTTGGCGAGAGCATCATAGGTGCTGCTCTTCAAGAGAAGGAAGGATTTCATTGGGTAGGTTCATAAAAACACTGAAATTTTCATATCAGCATGGTCTAAATATGCTTGATTCTATTCATGACGTAAATTAATTAGTGGAATTCAAAGAAATCAAAAGGGCTATAGATGAACGGGCAAATTGAGTCTTAAAAATTTTGGGATATGTGGCAAGTTCAGATGGCATGCATATTTACCTATGAATACTTCTAATACCCAAAACATATTTTTGATTTCTTATTCTTCTGGCTCTAAACATGACAAGTGGCCTAAATTGCATCTAACTCAATTCAAGGGGGTTAGGATTGGGTTAAAGTGCAATTTTGTTTTGGAAATTTTCACTTAGAACACTGGGCACCTAGAAGTTTTTTTTTTTTTTGGCTACAAATTTGTCTTAGAAATTTAAAATCGTAACAATATTACTTTTTACCATTAAAAATATTGACACTCAATGTCACTATTTTAATAATCAACATTAGTTTTTTAACGGTAGGAAGTAATATTGTTACGATTTTAAACTTCTAAGATAAATTTGCATCTGAAAGAACTTTTGGGCCCAGCACTCTTGAGTAAAAACTTTCAAACAAATTTGCACATTAACCTATTAGGATTTGATTCCTTCATTTATGACTGATTAGTATATAATCCATATCCCTATTGTGCAGCTTAACAACGATGCAGTCAATATAATAAATATATCAATGGGCAGCGTCATAGCAGTGTTGATGCAGCAAGCACTCCAGAATTGGCGTACATGAATTGTGCTGCTAAGATTTTCTCGGAGCTCAATCATCAGTGTGCATAGTTATCTTGCTAATTGCTGGTCTAAAGGTTTATACTCCAGGGAGTTCAAGTGGTGGGAAGTCATTTGAAAATGTTTTCTTGGGCTGAAAAAATTGCTTAGGATTCTAATTTGATACATCTTATCAATTTTTTTTTTCTTATTTAACTAGCCTCAACGTCCGTGCAAATATACAAAAATTTATTGAAAAAGATTAATACTCGCATCAATTAATTAATAGTAATATTATAGCAATATTTATTCCCCTTCGCAGTGATTACCCGTTGGGACGTTTCTATCATCTTGTAGTTGTACCGTTTGGATTACATATACAAGATACCCAGAGGGCTAAACTTATAGCATTGCACTGAGGAGTACCCGATTAGTATCTTTCTAAAATTATGATTTGATGCCATTATTTTTAAATTTTATTTTTGAATAAGAGAAGATTTTATTACTCAAAAACTTTACAAGACCCAGCAAGAATTTAAATTTTATTTTGACACCATAGATTAGTCTCCTCGTTACTTCAATATTTCTTCAAAAGCTATTGCCAAGGAAGGATAGTTTGGGTAACTTTAAAAATCTTTTTCAGAAGTATTTTTTTATAAATCGAGACATTTATTTATATGTTTATTTTGTATATCATAAAAGTATTTTTAAAACCATATTTTTGTTTTTATCCAATTTTTTTTTAATTAAGCAAGTTTTTATAATTACAATTTAGCCCCATTGTTCTCGTATTCTATTCTGGGCGGTAACCCCTAATCTTCAAAGCACACCGAAAAGTATCACTTGCGTGCTTTGGTCCTCCAAAAGAATAAAGAGCCCATTTAAATGATTGCCTTAGCAAACAAATAATCCAGCTAAAAATTCTTATTCTTTTACTAAACTCCTCTAGTTTTTAATATAAATCTCACTTTTTAGTGTAATTTACCCTATAAAGTGGGACTTGTGTTAACGATAGGAGGGAGTAGAAGAAGATGTGGTTTTGGAATAAGAATCTAACCAAGTTGACAAAATGTCCTTTAGATTCTAAAATTTGCACAGCTCTCTTGTCCATGCATGAAGAAATGCCGTGTCACCATCTGTTATTGGAAATTGACTTTTCTGCACCCTCTTGACTGAGATTTTTTGTCCCACAAAGGAAGGCCCAGAATTACAAGTAGCCACGAAACCTTATTACCAAAAAGCCATCACAAATGATGTCCCCAACAATGGCTGCTCCAGTCAATCGTTCATGTCTCCCCGCAAACGCACGGCTTAACTCAGAAAACGACACCAGAACCCCATGAACAGTTCAGGCCTTCGTGTTCCAATCCCATCCACTGGTTGAAAGGATAAGAATAATAAACAAACAATATGTGGGGAGTTCGTGGTGAATAGCGTTACTGTTGAGGATATTAATGTTGGAAGACGAAAAATTTTCCTGAACGAAAAGCAAAAGACTTGAAACTGTTAGGACATGTAGGGTTTGATCACTGTGAAGGAGACAGATGGGGGTGAAGTAACGGGTGTTGTTCATGGCTGCCGGCCAGGCCTTTGTTCTAAAGCAATATCCTCTGCTATTGCCTATTCGCAGGTCATGAAGACAAGACAGATATTTCACCATGCATGCATGACAACAACATTAAATGTTTATCCCATATAGTTCCATTTTCGACCACATTTTTTGTGTGTTGGCAAAATAGAAGTTGGCCGCATCCACCAACTTTGTGTCTAAAATCTAATATTTGATTAATGTCGTTACTTTACAGTGTGTTAAAGTAAATAGATTTTTGTCAAAAATACATAGTTTTTGTGCATGCGTTATCTATTATGGTGGCTCATTTCCTAAATTCTATGCAATGCATGAGTAGATATTAAATCGAAGACTACAACAAAACAAAAGTTGGTTGTATTTGGATTTTAATCTTTAGCCTAGACCATTTTTTATTGTGCAAATATGAGAAATGAGGTTTTCTATTTGTAATGTCTTGAGAAAATAGCACGATTTAATACATATATGTGTTTATATATTAAAAAAAAAATCTGTTATACGTGGTGTTTAAAGCACCATTATCATTTATCAAGAAGGAAAATAGAAGCGCAATGTCCTAGATAAGTCAAGAAGTTACATATGGCATCCAAGAAATTTTACTGTCTCTGTAGATATAGACGCATGAATTATGAAAGTGTTCCATCCTAATTAATAGTACAGCAAAAATTTATTTCTATCACAGTGCACCATCAAAGTTCGTGTGTACACACGCAATCTGTTCCATAGATGTTTGAAGATATGCATCCGGACACATTATGTGCAGTTTCACAAAATTATCTGGGACAAATTGGGATAAGATGTAAAACCAATTGTAACATTTCGGGTATGACACTCAATTATTCAGTATTTTTATTATGAGAATAAATGGTATCCAAAAGTTGGGGCTTCAGATATAGCCTTAATGATGTCTTGTTGCCAAACCCGTAAGTAAGGGTGAGCCAAACCAAACCATAACCGAAAATCAAATCGAACCGAATTCAATTTTAATTTGTCGGTTCGATTATTTTGGTTTTTAGTTATATATTCGGTTTTTATTTTTTAATAATTCAGTTTCAGTATTCGGTTCGGTTAGTAAAAAAATTCAGTTAAAACCAAAAATAACCCTAATAAATATATTATATATTTATATTTAATAAATATTATTATAATAAATATATATATGGTTATATGTGAGCTCTTTAAATATATTTATATTCAATAAATATGGTTATGATAAATATTATTACAATAAATTACATTAAATGATGAAATATTTATTAACTAATAGTTGTAATTGTGTTTTTATTATTTTTTTAATTTAAAATCACTTCTCACATTTACATATTTCGGTTAATTGGTTAACCAAACTAAAATATTTCAGTTAATTTGGTTTCAGTTAGTTTGATTAATCGGTTTCGATTCAGTATTTAAAATACACTCTATTCAATTAATTCAGTTATCAAGGAAAACCGAACTGGAAATTAATGGAATGCCTACCTCTACGTGCAAGTTGACTGATTGAAAAATATTACCACTTTAAGGAGAACAGCCCATGTGGTCTTATGCTATTAGGTAAACCTAACACAAATGCTTGAAAGAATCACACCTAAAAACTGACTGTTAGAGTTGGAGAACACAATATCTCAATATGGAACTCATGACAATGCACCTTATGAAGCATCTATCACACCTCAAAAGGGGGCTGTTAGAATTGAAAAACCCAAGGCTTTATAAGGTCTCTTTCAAGTACAGGCCTTCTTGGGTTGAATGACTCTCAACGAAAACACTATTGTAATGAACACATAAAAGTCATTGGGAGAACTTCATCTCGAAAACTAACTATGAGAACTAGCTAGGGCTATGTTTGGTGTGGAGTATTAGAAATAGGAGATAAGGATTGGGATTGGAGTTAAAAACATATGTTAAAAAGATACTTAGCATGAATAATTTCTTATTACATGGGATTAAGCAATCATACATAGATAGGATTGGAGAATACCACCTCTCCTCATGGTATTTTCCAATCCCATATACATGGGTCTGTCTAATCTCAAATATCATATAATTACTCATACTAAACACCCTTTTAATATAGTTTTACGCTTTCAATCTTAATCCCTATCCCTCATTTCTAATGCTTCGTACCAAACAGGACTTAGGAATCCTGGAGCCTTATAAGGCTCCTCTTTCATGGCAATCCTTTGATGAGGAACTCATGACATGTTACTTCTTCTGCTATATACGTCTTGTCTAGAGGTGCTTAAATATAATTAGATGATCATGTTTGTTCAGAGAGACGCTTCAAGTCTTATTCATTTTCTTCGATTTTTATGAAATTTGTATCATATCACCGATTTGCTCGACATTTTGATCGTCAAGAATCTGGATGACATGGTTCTTATTCCTCATCCTTTTAATATCAATATTTCTTAAGACTTTAGCTCCATGTGAGCAACAAGTTGGCTAAGATTATTTGATGTAACTAGCACCCATTTTACTTCGTATTTTATTTTATGCAGATGCAGGAAATTGAATTAGGAATGTCGGCGGATTTAGGACTAATTCTTGTAGCAGTCGAATAAATTCAAACGTCTTTGGATCTTATTCTTTTTCTTAGATTTTTAAATTCTGTGATCAAATCACACATTGGCTTGCTCATCATTCTGACAGGAAAATTTGTTGGCCAACATGAGATTCTTATTCCTCATCCCTTTTCATACCAATTATTCTTAAGAATTATTTAGCTTCACGGAAACAAAAAGTCAATGGTCTGCTATATATAGCTGGCTAGCACCTATTTTACTTTTTATTTTTATTTTATGAAATGAGTTTTCTTTGGCCAAAAACACACACACACACGCACACAGCAGATAAAGGAACCTGCACTTTGAATGTCGGCGGATATAGAATATGGCATAGATTTCATCTTTCTGAGATATTTTCAAGTTTACTTTCAAAAACAAAGAAATTCTCAACCTATATATTGAGGCTGTGTTATTTACATGGAAAAAAGTTTTATAAAATGAAATATTTGAGAGAAAACTATATTTCTGTTCTTGGTTGATAGAAATCTTTAAAAACATATAGGGGAGCAAGCTTTTTCATTCTCATTGTATCAAACAAGCTTTTATGATCAATTTTCCTCTTTTTTCCTTTTACTCAGAGCCTTCTGCAAATTTCTTGAGTTCCATTCACTAGACGAACTCAATCATTATGTAATTGTTTTTCCAAGTGAAAACCCTTTCTGTTGTCTACTTATATGGAAGACCCTCATTTAATATACTACTTTTGGTCTTTACTATAAGAGTTTGTTTAACTTTTATTTTTATCCTAAATATATTACTCAAATTCACTTTGTTTATCATATTTATCCATTTTTTTTCCACAATAGTCCTGGTAATAATGATAGTTCTGGCTAATACATTTGATTAGTAAAGATATTTTAGAAAATACAACTCCACCTATTTATTACTGATCACTAACTTAACTAATTTTTTTAATCTACTCAAATTACTTAAATAGCTTTTACATAAAGAACCAGAGGTAGTATTATAAATTTAAACCAATAAATGAATATTGAAGTTTACTAGGCTTCTTGGTGCAAGCACTGTGCTTCATAGTTCAGACAGAAAGGAGAGATAATAGGCTTGCCATGAAAACAATCATGAAATCAAATCAAATATATTAATGCCTTCTGAGTTTTGGTGTGAAAAATACACTGACATAGCCCCATCCTTATGCATCTGCAATAATGGATTCTTGAACTTAAGTAAGAATGCCCCAAAACCAATCTTAATTGGCACAGCCATGAACTTCATGAAGATAATGATGAGCTAGAATAGCTCCAATAAGAAAAATGACACAGCGATGAATTGAAAACAAACATGAAGCTAATCAACTTGAATACCTGAAAAGAAGGACATATCATGCTTCAAAGGCTCACATCACCAGGTTACACATTACACAGACAACCCAAAAAAGAAAGAAAGAAAGAAAAAATCATAAAGCCTGACATGTTTATTATCATATAGTGACTTAGTGAGGTGTGGAGAGATTTATGGTTGCCTCCGTCGCCTTGATAAAATACGACGATTCTGAGCTCTAATGAATTGTTGTGAGTCAGAAAAACACAAGTCTGGAACATGATCTAACATAGCATTATCAGGTGTATATTGAGTATCTTTAGGCCAATATAATCCTGAAGCTGTAGGAGGGGAAGGAATCTGAGGAACAATCCAAGATGAATCCGAAAATCGCCCCAAACAGTCATTATCGTCGTCGTCCTCGTCCATTTCCTCTTCGCCAGATTTAAAACCAGGAGAATCACAATCCCCAGGCTTACCACTGCCAGCCTGCAAAAACTCATCAATAAAGAAGATGTTAAAGGAAAAAAATCATGTAACTTTATCATCTGTAGAGCTAAAACAATAAGGCCTAAACCCCAAATTCCCTCAAAGCTCATTGGAAAACTATTTTAACTGAAATTGCTGAAGTAGATAACTCTTGAACCTGGTGTAGCATAAATGAAACAGTTCAAGAGGATTCATTTTACAACTATGAACATACCTTGGATGGTTCATTGTTCATGCAATTGTAATTCTGACTGAATTCATTTAAACCAAAAAATTCATCCATGGACCAATTTGATATGTTTCCAGGAGTTGAGCCACCACCATAAGACACCTTAGAAGGTGGAAACTGCCCATCTCCTCCCCCTTGGCAAGGTACAACTTCGTTGTGTTCAGATGACTCAGGTACTGAGGAAACCCTTCTACAGGCAGAAGAGGATTTTGTATCTGACATCTTCTCCTCAGACTGTGACTTGGCAGAAGACGAGGAAGCACCAGGCTCAGTAGCTTCAAGTCCAACTCTTATACCAGCCAGCAGAAACCTCTGATGAGCAGAGACATAGGAATTTGCTGTGTGTATTGCCACATCACATTTTCTGCAGAATAAAGCCCTGTCCTCTAGACAGAAGAAATAGCCAAAGGATTCCTGCTAGGAGTAGCAGAGTCTACCATCACAACTAGAACCTTAATAATTAAAAAATTAGGAATGCCAATCACATCAAGCTTGCCAACATTAAATGTAAGAGCTAGAAGGAGAAAAAGAAGTAATTATAGATAAATGAACACTGACAACGTGATGTCTTCTGATCCTACCGCATGGTCTTTCTCAAAGGACTTAGCGCCAGCAACGTGCACCATGATAGCAGTTGTGGAGGAATTAATACACTAAATTCCTTTATATAATTGATTTTCCTTCAGATAGCTCTATCTATTACAAAAACAAAGTGGTTTAAATTAAAGAACACATTTGTTTGAAACCTAGAAGGACTAAAAGTAACAGGAAATAAAATGACAAAAAGAAGAGGATACAGCGTCTATTATGCTCTTATTTCTATTCAATATTTTAATCATTTTTATTGCTTTTTTCCCCTCAAGTAGGGACATAAGGATCGCATTTGGCACATCAAATTTGGATACAAGCATACGAGAAAGCTTCCAAAACAGCTACAGCTACTAGTAAGCATTAGTTTAAGTGTTTTACATAACAATGAATACAAATTTAACAGAATAAGTGAAAATAACACTACAAAGATCCCACAATGCACCATGCTGTCTTTTGATCCTACCCCAAGTGTTCTTCAAAGGATAGTACAGCAAGGTGATTCAAAAACCAATACAATATTACAAACTATCAACGGATTCCACAATCGGAACACAACATTCCACCTCAAAACATATTTCTTTCAGGGAACTGTATATAATATAAACGAAAACTGTTTCAAAGAAGATGGAAGATACCTGACAAATATCACATTTGGGCATGTGAGAGGCAGAGGAAGAAAGAGGTACTCTCTCGTGCTTGCCGGCAAGCTTGTTAGCGGCATGGACCTTCTCGTCACATTCCCAACACAGCGCCGCGTCGTCGGCGCAACACAAAACCTTCGCCTCCGAAGCTTCACACACACTGCACTGAATCTTCATCCTTGAGCCCTTTCTCTCGTGTTACTGATGAGTCCCACAAACAACCAAAAAAAAAAAAACCAAAAAGTTGTTGGCTTTCAAGAACTCCCTCTCCTTCCCTCCAAACCCAATTCAAAAAGTTCCAAACTTTATCATCTCTGACGTCTTAAATAACACTCTACAAGTTTGCCAAGTTACAATCAGAACCAGAAGATGCAATATAAAATGGGAGAGAAAGAGAGGGTTTAAGAAGTGGGCGATGAGGAAGAAAAAGGGAAGGATATTTTTTGCGCGGAAGAAGGAGAATGTCCACGTGGCAAGAAACGGGTAGTGTCGTGGAAGAGGAGACCGCCTTTGCTGGCTTGGTCATCTGGACATGGTGGTGGTGGCGCTCTGCCTCTGTAAGCAAATAAAATACTAACATCAACAAAACAAAAAATCTAACTTGTTCTCAAATATTATTAGTAAGCAAGGTTGCTCGGTGGTATAGGAATTTTCATGAAATCTCCGGTGTCGGGAACTTTTGAATTCAGAAAATGGACAATTATTTCTGTGTAGGTTGAAATTGGTGGGGACAAGTGACATTATGTGTGCTCTGCCTCTTCTGTACGAAAATTTAATATCAATAAAAACAAAAATCTGACCTGCTCTCAAATATATTTGCAAGGGGTGCCCTGCGGCAAGGGAATTCCATCAAATTCCTGGTGTCGGGCAATAAATTTTGAATTCAAAAGATACATAGGATTGTTTGGGCTCAAACCGTGGTTTCAAGCATTTTGCAAAATATCACATATTCGTAATCCGTAAAAGCATTTCTGAAACCATCTATCCATAATCTCATTCACCAATCAAAAAATAAAAAAGGATAGATAAGTATCATGCACAGGCTTGAAATGGTGGGGACGGACGACATGCAGTGAATACCTTAATCGACAACTACTGCTGTCAAAATTTCGGGATTAAATTGAGATTTTATTTTTTGCAAATCCTATGTATCATCAGTTCGTACTCACAGCATATACTTTCATTAGATAGATAGAATTAGCAATTATACATGATAAATTCTTTCTTTTTTTGGTTGTAGCATGAAGAACAGGCGCATAGAGATGTGAAAGACTGTTTTCTAAGGTAAAACAGGGACGTGACCAACATTCACTATTTAGATACAAGAGGGACCAAGATTTAAAAACACATACAGTACAAAATTTGCATATATTTTGATAAGTAACAGAAAACGAGAGGCCGCAGATGGAGGGAGATAAACCAAAATAGCGAGAAGAAACTACATACGAAGAATCACCAAAGCATCTTGGGCGAAGGGCACGTACGTACGTAAACTTGGCTTTCTCATATGTAGACATATATGTGTGTGTGTGTGTGAATCTTCCTGATCATGTGTACGATATTTTTTAATCTCTGTTATAGTATGATGGTACATAGGTGAGAGATTGCTTAAAACTGTGTGTTCGTTACGTTCTAGGTATTTACACAAGATGTCCAGCTCGAGTACTCGACTCATCATTTCACGTAGGCGCCAATGCTCGATGGCATTAGTGATTGAAAAAGGAGATCTTTGTTATAGTACTACCTCCCATCCTATTTACAAGATCTTGTTTGTATTTATAATTAGTTCCTGAGGCAGTTTCACTCCTTGTTCACAATATAAAGCTAGTTAACTAAATTAAATAAATTAAAAAAATTAGTTAAATTAGTTATTTATAATAAATATAATTTTTTTCCTTAAAATACCCTTACTAATCGTATATATTATTAGCTAGAACTATTATTTAATGAAATTTTTAACATATGCAATGATTACAAAGATTACTTTGGAAAAAAATAGATAAATATAAAAGACAAAGTAGATTAAAGTTTTATATTTAGAATCAAATTGAATGTCAAATAACTCTTATATTAAGAATCAAAATTAGTATTTTGTAGGTTAGTGAGCTATATGAAGTAAGGACACTGTAAAAGAAACTAGCATGTCTGATCTTAAACATAAGAATTAGACAAGAGGTTTATGTTCTAATCTATTTTATCTTTTAAATTTATAATTATTGTTCAGAAGTATTCTTTTTAATTGCACATGTTAAAAGCGTTCTGATAGTGTACAGAGAATATTTTAAGAAAACAAATACACATTAATTGATTTCTTAATATTTGTAAATCTAGCCCTTGCATTAAAAATCAGAAGCAGTCAGCAGAAGTGAGTCATGTAATCATAGACTCTGGGCTTGGTACGTTATATGGAGCCTGATGAGGATTACAATTGCACTGATATTTTTACACTTTTTTCACCAATGTGCTGTATGCACTTTATTAGTTGATTCAGTCCTTATTTTCTTTTGGATTCCCATCAAATTAAAGTGGGTGTTGACGATGGATATAAATAGTTTGTTGGGAGGAGATGTTGACTTTCCATCGACTTGCTTCATCACACTGATCACGATACCTTCACTCGCATGTTTCATAAAACAAATGCACATTATTCGCCCCCCCCCCCTCCCTTTTTCCTTTTCAAGATAAAGAAAATACCACGATGACCTATTAACTTGTGTCCTGTCGTTTTGTCCTACAAAAGATGATGATTGGCGTAATCATTCATATATAACTCACTTTGTATCATGGTTAATATTGTACTTATGACTTAGTGACATGAAGGTTTTTTCCTTGCAAGATCAGATGTTATGTTATAGATTTGATCCTACTTATAATCTCATACTGCATCTCGATAAATTAAAAGTAATAATCATTCTTATTTGTTGATCAAATTAAAGGCCTAATTTAATTAGATTTAAAAATAACATACTTCTCCAGTCCTTAATATAAGACATATTTAACTAATTTGATTAAATTAACAAAGTTAGGTAAATTAGTTAATTATAAAAAATATGACATGTTTTTCCTAAAATACCATAATTATCTTCCTTAATTTCCTCCATTCTTCTTTTACTTAATTATGCTTGAGAGAGTATCAATAAAGGTAATTTAGAAAAAAATAAATATAAAAAATAGGTCTTATATTTAGGACCAAAATCAACTTAATAATTAGATCCTATATTAAGAACCGAAAGAGTATTATTTTTTTTATCTTACTTTATTTATCTAAAAAGATAAACACATACACAAATCCACACATGAGCTGCTTTTTTTTAAATAAAAAAAAATGCCATAGCGGGTTAAGACTGGGATCTAATTCGATGTGCCCATGGATTGAGATGTTTTTCATGTGCTGATTAAGAAAATTCAATTTTCTACCCTCGAATGAAGACTGGAGATATTTTTATGCTGTATAATATCTAAATTTGAGTGATGAGTGCGATGGAGATGCTGTGTATTTTTAAAAGGTGAATAATTTCTTCTCATTTCTTTTCAACATTAACATTTTTTCCTTTCAAATTCTCGTGCTCAGTGAACAGCCGATTCTTAGAAACACAAGAACTGTAACTGATAGATGCACTTGCTTAAAACCATGACATCGGAAGAATGGAGAATTTTTATTGTTATATATTGCAATTCCCAACTGAAATAATTATCAAAGATTACTGTATATCCATGTACATTTCTTTTACACCGGGTCCAAATCTTATCTGGAAGACAATATTATTTTTCTAAGGTAAAATATTATGTATTTTATCAATTGGTGATAATAAAAGATTATTTCGTATTCTTTATGCTTTAAAAAATTATTAAAACCAATTAAAATTGGAGTAAATCTGATATAGATGAGCCGTTATAAAGAGATATGTTGTATCAGATCCAACTTGGGAATTTCTATTTTGATTCTTCCACCTACTATATTTAATGAAAGTACCACACTAGGGGTCATGGACCACAATTTTAGTCATGAAACCCCTTGTGATTCAAACTCCACAAGAAAAATTTTAAAAATACCATGTCTACAATCTAATTTAATTAGTCGTCACAGACCCAACACCAACCCGTTTTGTTATTAACTTGTCAGATCAGATCATTTATTTCTTAAAAAAAACTTTGATTAATACATAGCAATTATTTTCTACTCATCAAGTTTCTGTGAAGACTTTAGATGGTGCATTTACGTAAATAGAAGTTCACCCAAAAGAAAGATCAAAGTCCAGAACCAAGCCCCAAAGGTTTTGTACAGCTTTATCAACAGTCCTATCGTTTCAAGCATACGTTCCCGTAATTACTCTCCTCTTCTTTCCAGCCAACACCTATAATTACTCTGCTACACAAAGCATTAATAACACATCAGTTACTTGTTCCTTTCACTTAAAGCTTTATGGTTCAGACAGCATAAATAAATAAATAAAGCTTTGTGCTTCAAAACTCGGAGCATCTAATGGGTTAAATATGGGGTCCAATTTTCACCTACCTCGTCGAAATACCCGATGTTCATAGCAAATTGGCAATGAGATCTAGTCTGTTGTGTTTTGTTATTTTCTCTCTTGTAAACCCAAAACAAAGAAAAGAAAAAAAAGGGGGTAAAAAGCAGATGTTCTGCTTTGAAGGCTTATGCTTTTTGCCTCAACCTTAACATAAGTGGGATAACCAAACTCCTGAACCTCCAAATGGAGCAAGGACAAATATTAACACTTCATTTGCAAAATGTCATGGTTATCAAGAAAACCGCAACTTCATGCTGCGGAAATGATTACAAACGGAACTTGTATGTACATACCAAAAAAAAAAAAATGTGTATGATCGTCAAGTTGTTTATGTACATGACTAGACGCTCAGCCCCTGCAAAAGGAATCAGGCATTACAAACTTAATGTCATGTCAGCTCGTGAACAAACTCTTCCATTTCATAAATCCTCTGACAAAATTGGGTATCATTCTGACGACTATATGCATGCAAAACTTCCCTCCAGTTTGTTCAAATGCATCCCAGAAGCAATATTAAGTCACAGACAGATCACAGAGCAGAGGTTAATAAATGATTAGGCAAGAAAACTTTCAAGATCGGCGCTCTGCAAGAAATCTCAATTTTATCCCCATCTTGAATGGTATATTTGACGTGATAACCATCAATATATATTACGCCTTCTCTACAAGACCATGTAATGTCCATTGCTTGGTCATGTTTGATTACCCCACGCATAAGGTTTAAGAGTGGCCCAGGTGAAATAGGCTCTCTTACCATATACTGGAGATCCTGCGATAAAATGGGCATCAGAAATCCACCTGCTGAGTGCATTGCAGCTGTGGAACCAGCAGCAGTTGAAACTCTCAAACCACTTGATCTGCAGATAGCTAGTGGTGAACAGGGCTGATCATCCTTTCTGATCCTGTGAAGTTTTAGGCTTAATTAACCACCTTTTCTGCGTTGCATTGTTATCCAAACACCCCCCCTCTCTCAAAAATGAAACTCGAGAAAAATAAATGAACCAAAGAGTGTGGGTCTTCTGAGGTTGCAATTACCTGAAGGAGAACGCAGAAAGTGCGGCAGGACATGGATTTGCAACTAAGATATCATTCAGAGCATAAGTTGGTAGCTGACGCGTGTTAACAGATATTGATATCCTTTTTAACTTGGAAGGAACAGTTTGACTCTCAAGTATGCCGTTTAACACCTGAAAGAAAATGCTCATCACAAACTCAGCCATGTAGTTGGTTCACAAAGAACTTAGTTATAGAAAGAGATGTTGAAAGCCACTACAAAGATCAAATTTACAGTAGTTCAAGGACCAAAAGAAGGATGGATATCTGAGGACAGATAGTCTTTGACAATAACGACGAAAGAACTTAGTTAATGCTTTGATGCAATGATGTTCAATATTCCTTACTGATACAAAATTAAGGCATCACAATAATGAAAGAATAATGATTGTCGTTTAGAATTTCCTCCACCCAACAGTTAACTCATCTTACCTGTTCAAAGTTTTCAACTGTTGCGGCACAAAGATGGCCAGTGCTTCTTGTAGCATCAAACTCATTCCTGAACCGCTCCACCTATTGCAAATAAAATATGAGTAGCAAAGTCCTCCGGTTAGGTTGGTTCTTCTGTGCCATAGAAAATTGAATTTGGCATATTCCAAGAAACAATCAAATAAAATGTTTAAAACAAATGTATCAATCTAACAACCAAGACCATAAGGAATTTGAACCTCATCATTTCTTGTTGGATCAGAATTCACTCCAAGAATTGGAATCCTGTCATCCATGAAATGGCTAGCTTGCAAAAGTGTTCCATCCCCACCAACTGTGACAACCAGATCCACATCATTGATGGGCTGTGATAAATCATTACGCTCTATAGCTTTCCATTCAACAGGCTTCTTCTGTAGAATTGTCTGACAGAATTTGATGGTATCAAGGTGCACCTTACGCCTGCTATCCAAGTGATGTAAAATCTGCAATTCCACAATAAAAATACAGTGACCAGAGTGTAATAAGCAACCGGTAACATAGGAGACATAGCAGATAAACCTGCATAAGGACATGAGAAAATTTGCAAACACTCAATCGTAAATTGAATCCACTCTCCAGGCAGCAAGAGAAATAGAATAAGTGTTAAACAGGGTTCACGTGTTCAATTTACAGGAACATCATTGACAATCACGTCTGCATTGCAGGGGTTGAGAATCATTATCCATTGAAATCCTACCAGGTAAGAGGATGGCATTATGAAACGTGAATGAGAGCAGGAAATGTTGATACTTTGTCAGGAGGCAAGAAAAACTTATCTTGAAGACTAGCCCGCTAAAATAGAGAACTTCTAGGACAGTTGTTTTTTGTCATTTACAATACTAAACAACAAATGAACGGAAATACAGAAATGCCTTCTTGGTAAAAATCAAGCCAAAGCCTTTTCCCCTTGAGTTTTTTTTAACCCAAAAAAAAAAAGAAAAAAAAGAAAAGTGACCTTGTGTTTGCGTATTATTTTCAGAAGTTTCTGAGTATCTAATTTTATCAATTTCGATAAAACAATGTTCCAAGATACTTGCTTTGTCATTGGCATCATGACTTGAACATCTTATTTACAAGTCAGACCAATTCATTGCATTAACGCTAAAGAAGAACCTAACAACGGGATCTAAACAGTAAAAAACATAAAATTCAACAAATGAATTTACCTAAAAACCCTCGAACCTTACCTTACAATGTGGGGTTCCTACAAGAGTCGATTTACTAGAGTCATCAAGGGGGAACAAATAACGACCAACCGTTTCTTATTCTCATGATTCATATTAACGGAGAAGCAATGAAAGCCTCCTATTTCCAACAAACAACAAAGGCATAGGAGTTCAGCGTTTCAGTTTAACATACGAACCAGACATTTAATCAAGCAATTTGAGTGCCCACCGCAAATGTCAAGTCAAGCATAGAACCATGAACTCCTAGAAAACACCGCAACACAACACTCTTGGGTCTAAAATAACCCAGCGTGCTAGGCGGGTCAGAAAGCAAAAGACTGGTGAATAATTCGGAACAGAAGAGAAGGAAGAACATTCATTACCTGGGGGCTGGCGCCGTGGGGAGGAGCATAAACATCGAACGGTTTTAGCAGAATCAATAATTTCCTCATCGCCATCTCTCTCTTTCGCTTTATGCCTTTCCCTCTCAAACGGCACGGTGTTGAGAAATGCGGAAGACGTAACCAATTGCTGCTTTTATTCTGGGATTAGGCATGCCAGCCTCAGCTCGTTGATGCCGGCAAACCATTTTCATTTGCCTTATGATTTATACAAAATACTACCTGTCCCAGATTTATATAAAGATGTAAAGGAATTTATCTCGATTTATGAAAAAATATTTTTTAAAAGCATTTTTTATGCCATCCAAACACTTTCTAAATATAAGATCTAGAACTTTTGGTGAAAAAAAAAATTAATATAATTTTTTATCTTTTAAATTTTTTTTCATTTTAATTTTCATCTATCAAGTTTTAAATCATAGATTTTGATCTCTTAATAGATAAAGTAGTCCAAGTTTTTATTAGATTATACGGGTTAATATTTTAAATTAAATAAAACTTAAAAATCAAAACCTATGATTTAAAACTTAAAGAACCAAAACTAAAATAAAAACAAGCTTAAAAAACAAAAATTATATTAACCAAAAAAAATTCTAGGACCAGAGGTAGTATAATAAAATTTGGTATCTCGTAATTTATTTTGGTTTTTTTAATTAAATATTTTAATTCACTATTAGCTCTTTATGAACAAATAAAATAAAGTTATAACTCTTCAATCAAAATTTGAATATTAATTTGTTAGGTTGTGAAATGTGATAAACCAGTCCTCCCATTAGATGTAACCTTTTTATTTTAAGTATATATTCAAATTTTTATATTACCAAAAAAAAAAGATATGAATATAAAAGTATTGGAATTTGCGGCCTCTTTCCATCTCTGACCATACTAAATAAATATATGCTGTGTGCCTGATGTGGCCAGTTTTCCGCAGCTGAACCACATATATGTCTTTGGTCCCGTTTATAACACAGATGACTGCGGGCAAAGGAAAATGACATGGATAGAAACTCCACATATAATAGAGACTAATGTAAAATTTATGACTTATAAGAAGTAATACTACTATTATATTTGTAAACCATAAATAATGTCACCCATCTCAAATTTTATTTAGAGCCTGTTTGGGAGAGCGTTTTATGGGCCAAACGCTGATGAAAAGCTATAATAAGCCCGATTGTATATTGAAGGCAGTTTGGTTCAGCGTTTGGGCCATCCAGCTTATCCACCAAAAATCAGATTGCACCGCCCGATCTGTTAAGCTCTGTGGAGAAGCTTTTTGAAATTGCAACGCCCGATCACAAGGCTCTCTGAACCGTTATATTTTTTGTCAGTTCTCTCTCCATTTTTTTATTCGTTTCTTTTTCTGCCTTTTCTCTGCCCGTGACCTTCCTCCTTTTCCAGTCTTTCTTTCGTGCCTCCCTAAAGTTTTTATGATTTTTTCTCAAAGTTCCGGAAAAAAATATTTTTTAATTTAAAATATTTTAAAATATTTTTTCTCCATTTAAAATATTTTTTATGATTTCTCTAAAGTTTTCAATTTTAACCCACTCATTAAATTTCACTTCTTTATTATATTATCTCAGTTTTGTTTTTTTTCTCCATGTTTCACTGTATATTTAAAATATTTTTTATGATTTCTTTAAAATTTTAAAATTTAATCCACTCATTAAATTTGATTTCTTCATATTAATTTATTTTAATTTTATTGTATTATTTGAAATTAATTTTTTATCATGTTTTATTATTTATTAAAACTCATACCCATTTTGGTAATTTTTCAACCAAACTTACTTTTACTCAACTATAATCCAAACAAGCTTTTATCAATCTCACTTTTACAAACTGATTTTTCTGAACTCCAATCCAAACACAATTCAGCTTATCAAATTTAACTTTTACCAACTTCACTTTTCCATAAGCTGCTTTTTCTATAAGCTGCTTTTCCAATCGCTGATCCAAACGGGCACTTAGAATACCAGTTTCTGATCTAATATTTTTTTATTCCCCTTCCAAACGGCTAGCCCATAGTGTTCCTTTTCTTTTGCCGTCGCATTAGCCCCTGGTTATATGCTTAAAATTATTGAAGAATAGCTTTCAAAGTTTTAAACTTTTGTTGGGAAAATCACAAAAAACCGATCGTGAAAATTATAAAATTTTAAATCAAAACTTATTACCAGACTTATATAGGTTTTGACAATAATTAAATGGCAAATGACAACAAATTTTTTAACAAAATATCTTTTTTGTAATTTTCACATTTTTTAATGATTTTTCCAGCTTTATTTGCAAAAAAAAATGGTCAAAGGAAAAAAAAAAACCATAACGACAAATTATGAAGGGGAATACGAACGGTGGAAAATTAGCAGCAAGAATATTATAGATCCGTTGAAAGTCCAACAATAGCATATTCATGCAGTAAAAAAAAAAGAAAAAACCATCCCCGGTGATGGTTTTGTTAAATTTTATTATTTGATTTTTGATATTATTAATTAATGTCGTATCAAAGAAAAGAATTGTTGCTCAGATCTCTTACTTAACTAATTTGCATAATTTAAAAAAATATAAATTAATTAATTAATTATAACAAATATAACTTAATCTTTTCAAAATAACTCAACGTAACATTATATTATATATTAGTTTATAAATTATATAAATTAATTTTAAAAAATAATAAATATTAAAGATGAAATTAGTTAAAATCTTATATTTAAAATCAAAACCAATTTTTTAATTATTTTTTATATTTAAAACTAGAGGAGAGTAATAAATTTATTCCACAAAAAAAATATATCAGACATAATAATGAGATGGGAGCCGAAAGAAAGCAATCAAAACAAAAGAGTCAGTGAGGGAGGCAGTTATATTTTTGACCCAACTTTACTGGGTCCAATTCATCATTACTTATCGCAACCCAACTAACCATCCGCCCAAACCGGAACCCATAATTACATCCGGGTTGACCCACCCGTGCAATCCGGCCTCCCCACAATAAGCCTTGTGCACCAATCAGTTCTCGCATAGCTCTATCGGATCTAACCCAGATTCCCCCCTATCCGCATCGGGTTTTCTTCCTTTTCATACCTTACAATCCAACCCTAATTCTGCCGGACCATCCGATCGGACTCTCTGCAATTTCCAACGCCACAAGCTCGTATTATGTAAGAAGCCATTCAGTTCCTGTTTTTGTTTTGTTTTCCCTCAAAATGTAACCTTGAGCACCTTCATTTCGTGCTTTTACTCTGTGTTACATTATTGCTTTCTGAGAAAATCATAGTGATAAATGGATTAGTCGTATACTAGATAGTGATGTGTCCCCCATGCTTGATTATGGAGTTGCAGATTCCTTCATGGGTGGAAATTTCATCCTTTGATGGGTGAATTTGTTCTAAGTATCTAATTGCAAAATCTTGACGTGGGTCTGTCTTAGTTTGTAGAACTTCTAGATCAGTTTGCTTTCTGATTGTAATTTTTGCTACTGAAAGAGATGCGTTCCATATCAATGCAAAATAAACCTCATATTAGTTTGGTCTTTTCTCCAATTTAAGCATATGCCCTTTTTTCTAGATTTCTATGTTGGTTGCTGAACATTTGGCTATGGCTGTTTTCTGTTACTTATTGCTCCTGTGATGGGGACAAACCGACTGCTCTGTAGATTCCCTCATTCCCCGATTTTCCTGGTACTGAAGGCTTTTATTGTTGAGACCAGGCACGGGTGTTATTGAGTCAATTTGGTGAAATTTATTATCCTCTCAACATTCCTTTTTCACTCTCTCTTTTTATTTTTAACGGGTGGGCGACAACTGACAATGGTTTTATATCATTGCATTGCTTCCAATGCTTTGGTGCTTTATATTTCTTGAGATAATACGATTTTTTCTATTTGTATTATTGGCTGGATTCATAATTGAGCTTTATCAATTTTACTCCAAGTTCTTAGGTTAATTTATTTTCCACATGATGAGCAGATTTTTGGCAGTCGCAATCCTATGTGATGGAAATACCAAATGATTCAGGCTCTAAGAAACCAAAGAGACTGACATCTGTTGTGTGGAATCACTTTGAAAGGGTCAGGAAGGCTGACATTTGTTATGCCGTTTGTGTGCATTGTAACAAGAAGCTTAGTGGATCGAGTAACAGTGGTACTACTCATTTGAGAAATCACTTGATGCGATGTCTTAAAAGATCAAATTTCGATGTTTCTCAACTACTTGCAGCAAAGAGAAGGAAAAAAGATAATACCGTCAGCCTCGCAAATATTAGTTTTGATGAAGATCAGAGGAAAGAAGAGTATCTGAAGCCAACAGCAATCATCAAGTTTGAACAAGAACACAAGAAAGATGAAATCACTAATTTCTGGAGTAGTAAGTTTGATCAGGAGAGAAGTCGACTTGATCTTGCACGCATGATTATATTGCATGGGTACCCCTTAGGTATGGCTGAACATATAGGGTTCAAGGTCTTTGTGAAAAACCTCCAACCTATGTTTGAATTTGTGTCCAATAGTGGTGTAGAGATTTCCTGCATGGATATCTACAGAAGAGAGAAAGAGAAAGTTTTTGACTTGATAAACAAGTTACATGGAAGAATCAATTTGTCTGTTGAACAGTGGTCTTCAATGGAAAATTCTTCATATTTGTGTTCAGTTGCACATTATATTGATGAGGAATGGACATTACAGAAGAAGATCCTGAACTTTATCACACTTGATTCTTCTCATACTGATGACATGCTTCCAGAAGTGATTATCAAATGTCTTAATGAATGGGATATTGACTGTAAGCTGTTTGCTATAACGCTAGATGACTGTTCTATTGATGATGACATCACTTTGAGAATCAAAGAGCAAATTTCTGAGAAAAGGCCTTTTCTAAGTACTCGTCAATTACTTGACATTCGCTCTGCAGCACATGTATTAAATTCCATTGTTCATGATGCCATGGACGCATTGCGTGGAGTAATAAAAAAGATCCGAGAAAGCATTAGATATATCAGAAGTTCACAAGATATACAGGGAAAATTTAATGAGATTGCTCAGCATGCTGGAATTAACTCTGAGAAGGCTTTAGTTCTTGATTGTCCTGGCCTTTGGAACACAAC